CGTGAAATTGACAGAGAGATACCATTCGCCTCAAAACAAAACTTAGGTCACTTTGTTGTTGCTGGTACAGCGCACACGAAAGTTTCTTCTTTACTAATTATAATAATGGTGATAGGATTGAGTGGAGTTCAATTCGGTCTGTAATCATACGAGTGATTAACAAAATCGGACGACCGCGAAGCGAAAAAAAAATACATTTAGGACAAACATCTCCAGTAGGAACAATGTCTAAAGCAAAAAATTTGGAAATTTCCCAGTTTTTTTTTTCAGGGTAAGTGATTGTTGCTATGGTCATTGTGATTAATTCTGTGAGTGGTGGATTTAGCTGAGTGGACTTAGTATGATTGGCTGCTTTGACTGTCCGATTACACTGTTCAATAACAGCTGTTCAAAGTGATTAGTGATATTCAAAGCAGCTGATGCGCCAATCACAGTTGAGGAAATTGTAATGGTTATGATTAAACAAGTAATGCAATCTTACTAAGTACAACACGAAAAAATGAGTAAACCAACAAAAAAATTCAAGATAATAATAATAAAAAATATGTGTTTAGGAATGATTCTAGAGTTTACTAGTGGTGAGAAATGAAAAGTTAACCAAAGCTTCGGCAATTCATTACGTTCCATTCTCTGCACCAAGTATTGAAAGCGGGTTGGTTCCAAATGTTCTGTGCTAATTCTCAATTTTTTGTTAGTGATGGCTGAAGAAGAGTGCCTCAACTATCACTTAGATACAAACAATGGAAATGTTTACTGCAAATGAGACTCAATGTTTTTAAAATCCTCATGGAGAAGCTTTTTGACTATCATAGTTGTTGACTGATAAAGGTTACATAAATAAATAATAATAATAATTAATAATTAATAGTAATACATAATAAAATGGTCTGATGGGAAGGGAAGGAAAAAAGGTTTCATACAAAGCAGCAGCAACTCTTGACACTTATCAAAATGATGTTTACAAATTTTCTTTTCAAGCCTGTAGATATCAAAAGTCAAGTATTCTTCCTATGTAACAAATCAAATAAGAGAATTATCAATTCAAAATTACAACTGTCTAATTTAAGGCTGTTTTAATGCCAAACAAAAGGAAATTGTTCCAAACATTAATTACAAGGTAATAAGCCATTTGTCATACTATTTTGTAGCAGCCATAACTTGGTTATACCTGTTCCAACTGTTCAGGCAACAATGGCAGATAGAGGGATTTCATGAGTCACCTAGAGCTCTGAAGCTACATGTATACGGATGAGTGCCAGACTAACACATCTACCCTCTCTTCCACTTTTCATAGACTCTGGAAAAATTTATGCCACAAGGATACAAGGCAGAAATACATTTTCAGTGGGGCACATTGTTAAATGGTTGGACATGCCACATAAAATATCTAAAAATGCACTAATCACCAATCAAAACTATTTTGTTGCAACCAATTTTTTTCCTGTACGTTCTTAATAAAATGTCTTTTATCCTTAACAGAAATGACAAAATCACACAAAACATTTTGTTTGGTAAGTGTTTTAGAGAAAGGACAAAATCTCATTCCAAACACATGTGAATCAAGTCAATTACTTGCATGGCATTCAGATTTCTTGAAAGACAATTCAAATAGGATAAAGTTTTATTTAGTTGTCTTTGTTTACTTATTTTTATAAATCCTCTCTTGAGTAACCAAGACAGAATTTCTCCTTACAATATTAATACTGATAAGCAATGAGAATAAAGAAAAACATCAATAAGGGGATTAAAAGTTGATTGAATACCAAATTCTCCACCATAACATCATAAAAATTGAATGGCATTCAGTAAGGAGAATTACTAATGAGATCTTGAGAGTGAGGGGGCTCAAGAGATATTTAGCACCTTACCTCATCATCTCTTTTAGCTGTGAATTCAAACCCATCACTAATGTTACTACCACTTTGTACACGGTATGAGTATTTCATCCCAGGAATTAAACCCTGAAAGAGAGAAAAAATATCAACATTAGATGTAAGAAAATAATCATGATCAATACATAAATTCCACACAACAATTTCAATACAACATCCAGCAAACATGTGAGGAGAATTGACAAAACATAAACTTAGGAAGTTCAAAAATAAGTTCCATAATTGTAATTTACTGAAAGAAGAAATATTTGTTAAATTACAACATTGATCTTACTTGAGAAGATTTTTCTACTCTGCTGAGTAAAATGCCAAAACTGTTAGTCAACCAAGTAAGGTTGCGCTAGTGGTTATATTACTATAAGTAAGTATAAATGTTTTGACACATTGAAAGCTGGAGTACACCAGAAAGTAAGTACAAGATGGCTAATATTCATGTTCTCCAATGATAGGATATCATGGCTTTGTATCCCATTGAACAGTTTGCTCAACCACTGTGCTAATCCTTTTATTCAATCAGAGGCAGTTTATTATATTCTGTTTAGAAAAGATAAGTAAATGAAGCCTGCATTTGGTTGGTAGCTTGAAGAGAGGTAATAGTGGAAAATCTAACTTAAAACCTGTAGACAAAAATTGGCTTGCTATCTACCTTTTTCATACATCTGGGTCATTTAGCTCCCCATTCAAGTATTGACATAATTTGTGTAAAAACATCAACATTGTCAGACAAAATAAAACTGATCTCCATTCATGTTAACCATTTAACTCCCAGAAGTTATCAACATGAAACTTCTCCCTATAATATCCATACACTATTCAGCAAACAGGTAATGAGAATAACCCAACTTATCATGTAGAAGCTGCCATCTTGATCTAGCACTAAGGTCTCATAACTAAGTTACAAGGAAATGTGTAACAGCTAGAGGGGAGAATTAACAATTAGATCTTGGGAGTTAAAGGGTTATATCAATAATGCTTTACTAGCAAGCACTGTCAGTTACTGCTGTTATTGTTATTGTTTAGCTCAATTTTTTCAAAATTTGCCCCACTAAAGCACTACAACACCATTAATGTTTTTGTTGACTGGAAATTTGGGGAACAATTGAAAACAGATTTTATTAAAAAGTAAATACAGTCCTTTAAAAATATTCAAGGTGCAACCCATACCTTACCTAAAATGATACTTTTTCTGATGTAGGATTAACCTGGAGTTTTAGTCAACGCAACCATTACTCTACACAACCATTAAGTAAGGAAGGCTCTGAGTATTTCGGTTTTATAAAACGAGTTGATAATGAAACTTAGCCTCCGTAAAGAGTTTCTTAGCTGAGAAACTCTTTACGGTGGTCAATTTACATTATTCACTCGGTTGTTAAAACCAAACTTTGTTACACAGATCAAACACAATTTCTTCAGAAAGTTACCCCCTTTTTTCATTTGACTACTTGTTATATTGACATTGGCAATAAATCTTCTTAAAACTGAGAAGAGGATTACCAATGCGTAGCCAGCACCAGCCTGATAAATTCGCCAAATTCAAGAACGAGTTACACAATGTGCTTTGCGGCCTTCTAAATGTATACTAATACATATTGAATCTGATCAGAACCAATTGCCAAAAGTAGAATGTTTCAAACTGCTGTTTCAAAGAAGCTGCATATTACCTTTACTAAAACGGTTTAAATCACGTGTTGGTAACTTTATCACCAATCACTTATTTACTTCATGCAATTACATAAAGCACCACACGCGATGGAAAGTGTAGACTATCGCTTGATGAATCGTCAACAACTGGTCCATTTCCTGTTGAGGCCAGTCTTAACGAAATAAACTAACTGACTGCAAAAGACCTTCAGACAGAGCTAGTACAATACTTTGTGTCTAAAAACAGTTACCATCATAGGCTATTGAAAACCGCTTCAAAACTGAAAACTTTGAAATTACGCTCGATCGATTGGGAATTAAGTCACCATTGTTTTAAAACACTTCTGTGGCTCTTACCTGAAGAACAACGCGATGAATGTATTTCAGTCCATCCGGATTTCCTTCAGTAAATAAAACAAATTTTCCCCTGCCTTCAAGAGAATAATTCTTCGGCGCTAAGCCATAGAGGACGACCGAACTGGCAAACTCCGATGAATTCGAGGTCGACCACATTATTGTCATTTCACTCGGAATATTTCCGAAGGAAATGTGAATTTGTTCGGGCCCATGAGGAGAATCATACGGTGCCAAATCAGACATAAAAAGGTGTTTCACTGCTTGATGTGATGATGCTAAATTCAGAAACGAACAGAGAGTGAGGAGGAAATAAATTCCTTCCATTTTCTCAACAGCTCAAAAAGCACACAGCGTAAATAAACCGGCTCACTCGAGATCAGGTGACTCAATAATTTGCGTGACAAAAGCTACATAACGCAAGCTTTCCGTGATGCTAGTTTGGTCTCGACGAAAGAAACATCAACCTCGAATTCTCTCTTGTCACGACATAACGTATTTTAAACTGTGATTTCCAATTTTTTTGTGAGAGCTGGCGGAAGGGGAATATTTTTAGACTTATTTGAAAGTGTTGAGCTGAGATATGAAGGTCAACGATATCAAAGGGACTTATTAGTACGTTCCTCCTTCAGGACGATGTAATAAATCAGGAGCTTATAAACTGTTTATAATCTATTAGTTCAAAGATTCCCCTTCGACTTATAATTATTTCTTATCTTCAAATGAGGATTGAATACTTTGTCTCTTTTTTCATGACGCAATATTGAAAAAAAAATATATGAAGGAGTGTAGGTGGCTCTTAGTTCCAATTTCGAACACATCTCAGTTTGGTCTCTTGTCATTAAATAAACTTGGTGTTTGGAGATAGCTGGGAATTGAAGGAAACCTCCTCTTGTTGCAATAGAAAACAAACAAAAAAGATAAAATAAAGAGTGGGGGTGGCGCCAAGATCCTATTCAGAGCAGATTTCGGTTTGGTCACTTTTCCTTAAAAGCACTTGGTTTTTCGTCCACACCACGAAAGGAGAATTTTTGTTAAAGACGCTGTGAACGGTCGAATCTTAGCATTAGGAGAAGAGACACTCAGAAAAAAAGATTGCATATTGGTCGCGACTATTTCTTTCTTTAATTAAAATGACAACTACAACGCTTGCCTGCCGGCCTACGGTTTGAACTGAATTCCCGAGAAATCTACAATCCCTCGAGATAGAAATAGAGAACCATCTGAATTTTTTTCTCAAAAGATTCGGAAATTCCTGAAGTACGCCACATTCTTATAACCATTTGCAACCAAAACACCTCCATGACTTTTGACAACATAACGGGGATTCCATGACGTCACCAGATTATCGTTAAGGTATACTTTGACTTTCCCTGCAGGAAGGGCTGTTGATACGGTCACCTTGACATTAAACCACTCTGCTCCCTTGGGGGGACCGGCAGGGCAAGTACTGCTTTTGGCTCCGTCAAACTTTGGTTCGGCTTTGTAAACGTAACCTGTTTGAAAACAACCGCGAACACTGTGCGGCCTGAGAAAAAGAAATAGGGAAAATTAGAGGTAATTATGGCACATCTTAATCGACAGTGGGATAAAATGGCTCTGCAATAGTCAGTTCTTTATACATCTGTGAAGAGGCAGGCAAGGAAAATTCTAAGCCTTTTGACTAGGTGTTGCCGCTTATAATACCATCGGCAGCCGCTTATCGTAAAAGTTTTTGAAACCTATGGTGAATTTAACTGATTCTCAGACAGTTCAAGTCCTCTCTGATGAGGATGAGGGGTGTAAGGCCCTTCTTCTTCCCATAATCTTTTGTTTACCCGTGAAAAACATTTTTGCCCATAAGTCTCACTCAAAGGAATCACTATAGTACATGGAATATTACTCTGCTGAGTTATACTCACTCAAATTGATCGTGATAAATAGAGCTTTCTTTTCATTTCTTTCTCCCACACAAATTTTATTTCAGTTTTTGGCAGTTTTGGAGCTGGAATGGCATTTTGGTCTCGTCAAGCAGTTTTCAGAGAACGATGGGCAACCACTTCCCTATAGACGATTAGGGCTGGTTTCAGATCGACCAATCCAATCATCCGAGAATTAAACTAGATTTGTGTCAGTTTAATCTATTCTCTGAGACAAAAATAGCTATTCCAAACCTGAAGTACACGAAGTCATAGTTGTCCCCATCTTCAGCGTTGAAAAATACACCTAAATGCCCGACGTTTACTCCACCTCGCCCAATAAAGTTATACATGTCCACACTTATCTGGTAGTTCCCAGTCCCGCAGCCATTCAAGTACGATACTTGACAAAAGCCATCCTTCGGCCAGCTTCCGTGATCTGCATCGAGTTTGACATACCCCGGAAATTCGACTGTTCTCGCGCATCTTTTAGAGACGTAGAGCTGAGGGTCGATTTGGAAGTTTCTAAAAAGAACCACGTTTTGGTATCCATGGAAGGTGAAAACTCCTGCACGAGCCTGCAAGGTATGATGGGTCTTGATAGTCGTCACCAAGTCTCCATTGAAATAGATCTGTGCATCTTGATCGTGAGCCTTAACTGACACTTGGAACCAGACCCCACCTTTGGGTGGACCTTTAGGACACGCTTTACTCTCGATAAAGTTCAGGTTTCCGCTTTTCATGAATCCTGTCTGATAACAGCCGCCAGCACTATGAGGTCTGTGTGCATGAAGAATGGAAAACTTAACAAATGAAATAACGTCCTTCGCTCTTGGCATGTGACCCGCTTGGTATAGATGAACGGACATATCATGTCTGAGACTCATTTAGGAAATTTCATATCGCCCATAGAGTTGAAATTTCAGGTTGAAAATTGTGCCGTTCAGATGGAAAAGTTTAGATTATCAACCGTAATTAAAAGCAATCTTTAAAGCTCCATTTTGTTTGCCAAGCTGGATCCTATACTTGAGAAATCTTGGCAACAGTATACCAGTTCTCATTATACAAGGGGCCGCGTTGCACACACTCTTGAAATGGTCTCCCGAAGAATTCCCTGCACAAATGGCGTTCAGCGAGAAAGCAACACGCGTTTGAGCAACATGTGCGCGAGTAACTATCATGTGAGCAACACGCGCGAGTAACACGCGCGCGAGCTAGAGATCTTTCACTCTGACCGTCACGCAGTCGCGCCTCGTTAAAGCTAAGGGACAAATCTCACCTAAAGTAGACAAAATCAAAGTTGTTCTCATCCCTTGCGTTAAAAAGCAATCCAAGATGGCCGCTGTTTATTCCCTGCCAACCTGCTTGGTTGAGTAACTCTGCTGATACTGTATACGCCTGTGATTCAAGAGTCGGTTGAGCGACAACACGACACATGGACCTTTTGTCTGAACCCATTGCGTCCAATTTGTATTGACTACTTGAAGATGATTTCATCATTCTTGTACAGTGTGCCACCGTGGACAGGGAAAACTTGTCCCGGTCTAAACTTGAGCAATTATGAAATAAGGATTAGTTTAAAAAAGTATATATCAGGCTAAAATTTATCATTTACGCGCTACCAGCTACTACTTAGCGTGTCCCTGTCTAACCCGATACCCTTCCTCCTCGCCTCCTATTCCTGCTAGCTACCTCACGGTGAGCCTTAATCAGTCTTTTTCAGCGCCCGAACAGAAAAAGGAAGCGAAACCCTGTAATTTACTTCCCCTACAAGAATACATCCAGGTTAGAGGACTGCAAGATACTCTCAAAGCTTGAAATCATTTTTGGTTTGTATAACCCCCTGTGTCAGTGCCCCAAAATGGATATGAATATCAGAGATCCTGTTTAGGGTAAATGTATCGAAATTTTGAGTAACTTTCAGATGGTGTGAAAAAAGTTCGCTTTGGGAGGAGAAACAACGAAGGAGAAGATTAATAAGAGATCAGGCAACAGGAGCGCATAGCATGAGAATCCTCCGTCTGGTCTCTAAATGGAAACTCTATTTTTTGTTGTATCAGTAAAAACAAACACCATTCATTAGCGTCTTTCGAGAAGTCTGACTTTGATTCTCATTACTTCCCGATTACTTTTGTTTAGAAAATATTCAGCATTTTTCTGGTTTGACGGAAAATTAAATGATTAAGAGTTTTCGTGATATCCATATTGTCTTATATTTCTTACTGTAAGAACAAAACTAAGAATTGTTCGGATGTGCAATATTGCTCATATTATCCCCAAACGAGATAATGCCTCGTAGATACAGCTGTTGCAAACTAAAAGCATATTAAGATAGTAGTGACACGGCTTTCTTGCTTAATCAGATGCGATGAGTTATGTTTGGATTTCACGTATTTGGGTGTTCAAGGATTCAAGCCGTTCTCAAGGAAGACTTTCTTTTTAAGCTTCAGTAAAGGCGGAACTCAAAGCGTACAGCTGTAGCTAGCGATCGCTAAATAAATTAACAAGCAAGCACTTCACGTAAACGAATGAAGTGATATTTCAACGGCAAGAGTACTTTGTAAGCGCGCTACCTAATACGCTTTTAGTTTTGCCTGGGAAATGATTTTGTTTCATTATTATGAGCTCGGACAGCAAAGTATATCGTTCTCAATAGCTAAGGAAAAACTACAATTAATATATGAAAGAAAAATGATCTCAGTTACCATTACTGCAGTTGCCATTATTCATCTTAGAGCTGGCTATCTCGCTGTGAATGCAGAGGATCAAGAAGGCAAAGTGAATTATACGGCTGAGAGAGAGCACTTGCATGTTGTTTCTTTAATGGTAAAGCGACACTGAATATAGGAGCCGTGTTACAATCCGTAAAATTTGTAGTCTTTGAAAAATTATAAGTGCTTATTTACGTCACATTACACGAGAAATCACGTTGTTACTTGTTGATAATTTACATAGAAAACGGATCACAGAAAGTCGAGACGGATGAAATTCTGGCAGCGTGCGCGCCCTATTTGTAATTTTTTTAAACTGCTGTTTCAAAAAAGCAATATATTTCCCTTACAAAATTGTCTAAGTCACATGTTGCTAACCTAACGCGATAGAAAGTGTAAACTAACGCTTGGTGAATCGTCACTGAACAACTGGTCCATTTCCTGTTGAGGCCAGTCTTCACGAAATAAACTAGCTGACTGTAAAAGACCTTCTGGCAGAGCTAGCACAATACTTTGTGACTAAAAACAGTTACCATCATAGGCTATTGAAAACTGCTTCAAAACTGAAAACTTTGAAATTACATTGCACGATCGATCGATTAGGAATCAAGTCACCATTGTTTTAAAACACTTCTGTGGCTCTTACCTGAAGAACAACTCGATGAATGTATTTTAATCCATCCAGATTTCCTTCGGTAAATAAAAAAAATTTTCCCTTCGCTTCAAGAGAATAATTCATCGGCGCTAAGCCAAAGAGGACGACCGAACTGGCAAACTCCGACGAATTCGAGGTCGACCACATTATTGTCATTTCACTCGAAATATTTCCGTAGGAAATGTGAATTTGCTCGGGTCCGTGAGGAGAATCATACGGTGCCAAATCAGACATAAAAAGGTGTTTCACTGCTTGATGCGATGATGCTAAATTCAGAAAGGAACAGAGAGTGAGGAGGAAATAAATTCCTTCCATTTTCTCAACAGCTCACAAAGCACACAGCGTAAATAAACCAGCTCTCCCGAGGTCAGATGACTTAATAATATGCGTGACAAAAGGTACATAACGCAAGCTTTTCGTGATGTCAGTGCTGTCACGACGAAGGAAACATGAACCTCTCTTGTCACGACATAATGTATTTTAAACTGTGATTTTCCAATTTTGTCGGGAGAGCTGGCGGAAGGAGAATATTTTCAGACTTATTTGAAAGTGTCAAGTTGAGACATGAAGGTCAAAGATATCAAAGGGACTTATTGGTACGTTCCTCCTTCAGGACGATGTAATAAATTAGGAGCTTGTAAACTGTTTATAATCTATCAATTCAAAGATTCCCCTTCGACTTTTAAATACCCCTTTACTTACTTCCCCGGTACTTTGCTTTAACCTTATCTTCAACTGAGAATTGAAACCTTTGTCTCTTTTTTCATGTCGCAATATTGAAAAGAAAAAATATATATAGAGGAGTGTAGGTGGCTCTTAGTTCCAATTCTGAACATATCTCAGTTTGGTCTCTTGTCATTAAATAAACTTGGTGTTTGGAGATAGCTGGGAATTGAAGGCAACCTCCTCTTGTTGCAATAGAAAACAAACAAAAAAGATAAAATAAAGAGTGGGGGTAGCGCCAAGATCCTATTCAGAGCAGATTTCGCTTTGGTCGCTTTTCCTTAAAAGCACTTGGTTTTTCGTCCACACCACGATAGGAGAATTTTTATTTAAGACGCTGTGAACGGTCTATTCTTAGCATAAGGAGAAGAGACACTCAGACAAAAAAGATTGCATATTGCCCATGACTCTTTCTTTAATCTAAATGACAACTACAACGCTTGCCTGCCGGCATACGATTTGAACTGAATTTCCGAGAAATCTACAATCCCTCGAGATAGAAATAGAGAACCATCTGAATTTTTTTCTCAAAACATTCGGAAATTCCTGAAGTACGCCACATTCTTATAACCATTTGCAACCAAAACACCTCCATGACTTTTGACAACATAACGGGGATTCCATGACGTCACCAGATTATCGTTAAGGTATACATTGACTTTCCCTGCAGGAAGGGCTGTTGATACGGTCACCTTGACACTAAACCACTCTGCTCCCTTGGGGGGACCGGCAGGGCAAGTACTGCTTTTGGCTCCGTCAAACTTTGGTTCGGCTTTGTAAACGTAACCTGTTTGAAAACAACTGCGAACACTGTGCAGCCTGAGAAAAAGAAATAGGGAAAATTAGAGGTAATTATGGCATATCTTAATCGACAGTGGGATAAAATGGCTCTGCAATAGTCAGTACTTTATACATCTGTGAAGAGGCAGGCAAGGAAATTTCTAAGCCTTTTGACTAATAAAAGCATCCGAAAGCCAAATCGGATCAGCCAGTGGACTCCAAATCTTCTCGGGTAGGTTATCGCTTCTTACTTTGTTGCAGGCTCGAGACACACGTTTAGTTTTAAGTCTTTCAGTTTATGTTTCCACTATATTTCTGCAATTTTTTCATATTCCGTCCATTCCCTCGCACTTAATGTGTATTTCTGATTTTGTCAGTGCTTCTGCAAAGGAAGCGTGATAAGAATCAGGGCCAGTTTCAGTAAAGTCGGATACTGGTGGTCCACCGCCGCCTAGGAGACCTCTTATTGGCCGTCTGTTTAGCCCCCGAACGGGCCATTGTTTTTGGATTTCGTGGGTGTTGCCGCTTATAATACCATCGGCAGCCGCTTATCGTAAAAGTTTTTGAAACCTATGGTGAATTTAACTGATTCTCAGACAGTTCAAATCCTCTCTGATGAGGATGAGGGGTGTAAGGCCCTTCTTCTTCCCATAATCTTTTGTTTACCCGTGAAAAACATTTTTACCCATAAGTCTCACTCAAAGGAATCACTATAGTACATGGAATATTACTCTGCCGAGTTATGCTCACTCAAATTGATCGTGATAAATAGAGCTTTCTTTTCATTTCTTTCTCCCACACAAATTTTATTTCAGTTTTTGGCAGTTTTGGAGCTGGAATGGCATTTTGGTCTCGTCAAACAGTTTTCAGAGAACGATGGGCAACCACTTCCCTATAGACGATTAGGGCTGGTTTCAGAGCGATCAATCCAATCATTCGAGAATTAAACTCGATTTGTGTCAGTTTAATCTGAGACAAAAATAGCTATTCCAAACCTGAAGTACACGAAGTCATAGTTGTCCCCATCTTCAGCGTTGAAAAATACACCTAAATGCCCGAAGTTTACTCCATCTCGCCCAATAAAGTTATACATGTCCACACTTATCTGGTAGTTCCCGGTCCCGCAGCCATTCAAGTACGATACTTGACAAAAGCCATCCTTCGGCCAGCTTCCGTGATCTGCATCGAGTTTGACATACCCCGGAAATTCGACTGTTCTCGCGCATCTTTTAGAGACGTAGAGCTGAGGGTCGATTTGGAAGTTTCTAAAAAGAACCACGTTTTGGTATCCATGGAAGGTGAAAACTCCTGCACGAGCCTGTAGGGTATGATGGGTCTTGATAGTCGTCACCAAGTCTCCATTGAAATAGATCTGTGCATCTTGATCGTGAGCCTTAACCGACACTTGGAACCAGACCCCACCTTTGGGTGGACCTTTAGGACACGCTTTACTCTCGATAAAGTTCAGGTTTCCGCTCTTCATGAATCCTGTCTGATAACAGCCGCCAGCACTATGAGGTCTGTGTGCATGAAGAATGGAAAACTTAACAAATGAAATAACGTCCTTCGCTCTTGGCATATGACCCGCCTGGTATAGATGAACGGACAAATCATGTCTGCGACTCATTTGGGAAATTTCATATCGGTTATAGAGTTGAAATTCCAGATTGAAAATTGTGCCGTTCAGATGGAAAAGTTTAGATTATCAACCGTAATTAAAAGCAATCTTTAAAGCTTCATTCTGTTTGCCAAGCTGGATCCTACACTTGAGAAATCTTGGCAACAGTAAACCAGTTTTCATGATACAAAGGGCCGCGTTGCGCACACTCTTGAAATGGTCTCCCGAAGAATTCCCCGCACAAATGGCATTCAGCGAGAAAGCAACAAGCGTTTGAGCAACATGTGCGCGAGTAACTATCATGTGAGCAACACGCGCGAGTAACACGCGCGCGAGCTGAGGATCATTCACTCTGACCGTCGCGCAGTCGCGCCCCGTTAAAGCTAGGAGACAAAACTCACCTAAAGTAGACAAAATCAAAGTTGTTCTCATCCCTTGCGTTAAAAAGCAATCCAAGATGGCCGCTGTTTATTCCCTGCCAACCTGCTTGGTTAAGTAACTCTGCTGATACTGTATACGCCTGTGATTCAAGAGTCGGTTGAGCGAGAACACGACACATGGACATTTTGTCTGAACCCATTGCGTCCAATTTGTATTGACTACTTGAAGATGATTTCATCATTCTTGTGCAGTGTGCCACCGTAGACAGGGAAAACTTGTCCCGGTCTAAATTTGAACAATTATGAAATAAGCATTAGTTTAAAAAAGTATGTGTCAGGCTAAAATCAATCATCTACACGCTACCAGCTACTACTTAGCGTGTCCCTGTCATTTTCATTTTAGATCTAACCCATTCACCTTTCTCCTTTTCAGCGCCCGAACAGAAAAAGGAGGCGAAACCCCGTCTCGTAATTTATTTCCCCTATAAGAATACATCCAGCTTAGAGGATTGTAAAATACTCTAAAAGCTTGAGATTATTTTTGGTTTATATAACTCTCAGTGTCAGTGCTCCAATATGGATATGAATATCAGAGATCCTATTTAGGGTAAATGTACCAAGATTTTGAGTAACTTTCTGATGGTGTGAAAAAATTTCGCTTTGGGAGGAGAAACAACGAAGGAGAAGATTAATAAGAGATCAGGCAACAGGAGTGCATAACATGAAAATCCTCCGTCTGGTCTCTAAATGGAAACTAATAAATAGAAACTAATAAATGGTGTTTGTTTTTACTGATAGAACTTTTTGTTATATCAGTAAAAACAAATACCATTTATTAGAGTCTTTCGAGAAGTCCGAGTTTGATTCTCATTATATCCCGATAACTTTTGTGTAGAAAATATTTAGCATTTTTCCTGGTTCGACGGAAAATTAAATGATTAAGAGTTTTTTATAATATCCGTATTGTTTTATTTTATAAGAACAAAACTAAGAATTGTTCGAATGTGCAATATTGCTCATATTATCCCCAAACCAGACAATGCCTCGTAGATACAGCTGTTGCAAACTAAAAGCATATTGAGATAGCCGTGACACTTTCTTGCTTAAGCTTATTCAGATGCGATGAGTTATGTTTGGAATTCACGTATTTGGGTTTTCAAGGATTCAAACCGTGCTGAAGGAAGACTTTCTTTTTTAAGTGTCAGTAAAGGCAGAACTCAAAGCGTACAGCTGTAGCTAGCGATCGCTTATAAATTAACAAGCAAGCACTTCACGTAAACGAATGAAGTGATATTTCAACCGCAAGAGTACTTTGTAAGCGCGCTATCCAATATGCTTTTAGTTTTGCTTGGAACTGAAATAGTTTTTTTTTTGAGCCCGGACAGCAAAGTATATCGTTCTCAATAGCTAATGGGAAACTACTATTAATATATGAATGAAAAATGATCTCAGTTACCATTACTGCAGTTGCCATCATTCATCGTAGAGCTGGCTAGCTCACTGTGAATGCAGAGGGTCAAGAAGGCAAAGTGAATTATACGGCTGAAAAAGAGCACTTGCATGTTGTTTCTTGCTTTAACGGTAAAGCGACACTGAATGCAGGAGCCGAAATTTGGTAGGGGTGTTTAATAAGCAGGACTCTGGGTACTCCAATAGGAAAGTAGTGCCAGTACTTTAACGGCTCGATCATCGATAGCTACGGACATCGCTTAGTATAGATAACAACATGATTTCGAGTGCAATTTGGTACTGATGGCGATTTTTTCAAAGACAAAAAAATTGCACGAGCCCGTAGGGCGGGTGCAATTTGTAGTCTTTGAAAAATTATAAGTGCTTATTTACGCCAAATTTCACGAGAAATCACGTCGTTACTTGTTGATAATTTACATGAAAAACGCATCACAGAAGGTCGAGACGGACAAAATTCTGGCAGCGCTTGCGCCCTATTTGTAATCTGCACTCGTGTTGCATGAAAAATGCGCTCATTTTCAGCCGATCATACGAGCGTAATTTTTTCACGTATATTATTAAACTGAATCTTGGAGTTAACATTAGGATTAGTGTCTTTTTTGATTTCTCTCTTTTTCCATTTTCTTTGACTTTTTTCGTGGGAATATCTTAAATTTGATGCTTCTTTTTTTTGTCAAAAATGAAAATATCTGCTGTTGCTTTTAAAATTAATAGGTGTGGGGGGAAGGGACGTGTAAGAGGCGTGTAACTGTCCAGCCCCACCCAATTTTGAGAGTAACTCTTGCATGCATAGCATTTTGATTCAATTTCTTTCACGAGTCGATCACGAGTACCTCTAACTATCGCCTATATATCAGGGAGACTACACTATTTTAAAATGCCTTATAAAGTGAAAATCTACGTTCTCTGTCTAGCATAAAGGAAGTATAGAGACGCCAAGCCTGAACAGAAACAATACACTTTAACCGAGTGTTGCTACTCATTGAGAGAATGCGCCTTTGTGTAGACATTCATTTAAGATGTTATAGCGAATTGCGTTACGTCACGGTCGTTGTGATATCTCGTGACAGATTTAAAAGCGTAACATCACAACAAACATGGCTGGTCCTTCTCCAGTTGATAGCTTCTACGCGACTTTTCCGAGACTTAAATCTGTTCTTTATCGGAGTACGTCGATATTAGCTTTCATTCTTTTCTTCCTCACATATCAAATGGCCATTTTGGAATTCTTAATCGACGAACAAGAGAAGGGTGTCTGTATTTCAGCAAGTAAGCACTATTCGAATTTCTTCTTTGTGTTACGCATTTCAAACAGGCTTTCACTTTTTCTTCGTTTGTCTTTAATCGGTCACTTTTACAGTCTAATTTTGCTCGTTTGACACGAACGAAGAGGGAATGATTTCTTTAATACAGGTGTAATCTTGTGATGACCATGAAAACTGCATAGGAAATTGCTATTGACGAAAGAAATTACAATTTGTTAGTGCGCATTCCGCTTCACGTGGCTCTTTGGGTTTTCAATTCATGGTCACATTTTTCGGGTGATGTTGCTATATAAATTTGTATCTTAACAATTTTTCTCCACTGGTGTGATGTGAACTTATATTTCTTCATTTCCAGAGAACTGTCTGGTATATACAAGCGTTGATGTTCAGCCGCTGAACAATTCGAGTCTACCGACAAACTCTACCGAGGTATGATATTTTTGCCAAAAATTTATATTTTCGTTCCTATGGTTGTGAACGTCTCTGAGAAATTTTCGCCGTATGGTACTGAAATTGCCTTTTTTTATTTGAATGCAAAGCGAATCATCACAAATGATTGCAAATCTCTGGTTTTGTCAGTTCCTTTTCGAGTGTAATTTTTGATCAGGGTGTGCGTGGATAGTCACTTAGCAGTTTTCATCATCAATGTCAATGATGTTTGTTAACGATGATGTCGTAAGGGGGAACAATTTTTGTCACAACAGGTTGAGTGATAGTTTCTGAATCAAGCGTTCAGAGTAGATGTTGGTATTAGCAGACCCGTACGTAGAGCAAGTTTGTAGTTCCCATTTTTCGCGTTGAGAATTTATTCAGTTCATCTTTACGACTTCCGGCACCAATTGCAGTTATTGATTAACCTGTGACTTCTCCCTTATATAGCAAATGACGATGTTACGTACAACAATGATGAGAAAAGCAAAATCATGATCCTAATTGTTGTCTTAACCCTTTCACCTTGTAAGAGTGACCGACATCCAATTTCTTTCCATAATATATCACCCTTCAATTAAATATTGAGGTCAGGAAAAGAAAGGAAATTATTACAAAACGAAGAAGCCCTTGATTGTTGAACAAATTCTCCTTGTCAGCACCTCAGGAATTGTACAGAGAACAGTATGGAGAACATGCATACTGATCTTAGGGTATAGAGGATTAACATAACATTAAACCTCTTCTCACTTATTTGGGAGGACATTAGGAAAACCTTCAGAGCAGGATTACTATAAATAGGAGCTGAAGAATGAAAACAATGCTTTTTATTTCATTTATATTGAGATTTACTCTGTGAAGTACTATCAGTCTTGTCTCTGATTGGATGAATGATGTATTTTCACAATCATTTGCTTGGTACTTCATAGTGTAAATAAAAACATCATACCATGATAAGTGCTTGAACAATTTTTACTCTATCACTTGATGCATAAAAAACTGACTTGTTTGTTTTCAATTGTTTGTTTTCTTGATGCATCATACCTTGTAAATAAAAATCATTCTTGGTCACTTTCCATTGAATAATCTCTATGTCCTTACTGCTTGAAAAATTATCTCAACTTACTTGAAAATGGCAATAGTGATTTTCATTAGGCTATATTCATTTTGGTCCCAGTTTCCAATCATGCTTTCATCAGTCAGGGTCATTCTCAGAAGTTAAGATTTCTCATCTCTGGTCATGCTTGAGTTTTCTCTGCCTAGTAAAAATTCCTTCTAATTTATCGATATTTTATTTGCCATCAGTGACTGTGGCACCTGGAGTCAAATTTTTCACTTTTTTTTTTTTAACGTGTGATGAATGCTAGAGGCACCAGGTATAAATGTAAATACAGGTAGATGAATAAATATATACCAGTAAATAGGATATACTGAATATTACATTCACTTTGATTGGTTATCAGTAGTGATCTATTATAGGACTGATGCTTGGATTATTTTGCCATCAGCAACTTTTACTTCTTTTGAAGAAAACGACAAAAATTTTGAGTTTGTAAAACATATTTCAACAGAAACTTCTATCATCTTCAGTTAATTAATGTACAAAGCATTGGAAGTTGAATTTATAATAATTAGAAAAATGCTAATTATGATAAATGGTGATAACAAGAAAGATGCAAAGCATGAAAGTGTGAGAATTAAAAGGATAGTTTTAGATTGAAATGAAGTAATTGTTGATTCAAAGAGGGTTGTTCTCTTTGAATATGAATAACCTCTTTTATCTTAAGTTGAAAACTGGTAAAGACATGATCCAAAACATGGAAGCTATCTGCTGAGCACAAAGCACGACAATGTTCAGAATCTTGCAGATGTTTGAAAGACCCTTATTTTTAGTTATATGTCACAGAAGACTAACATCCACTTATATGTATATATGTATCTATATAGAGTAGATGTTATTTGATGGCTGGGAGGTCGGTATAATTAAAAACTTTGACAAAGGTTGTGCTGTATTTTCAAGTCACAAAAGCATTATTGTGGCTGCGAGCAGAGTAAGGAAATTCTAGACTGCCTAAGAACCAGTCAGATTGCAGGATTCATTGGTATGACCTCATGTCAAACTAAACTCCCATTATCATTGCTATTAATATTATTATTATAATTATTATTATCACTATTATTAATTTTATTAGTATTACTAATTTTTGTCTTTGGTTAACTTTTTTCAGACTAGTACTGACCCTGTGGAGAAAGTTGTACTTATCCTAGTTACAACACATACAGTCTGCATGTTGTTGGGAACTTTGATCCTAGGACTTGCAGCAGATGCCAGTGGCAGACTGAAGACTCTCCTTGCTTCTGTTTTTGTGATTTTTATAGCAGGGATAGCAAGTTCTCTTGCTTTTCATTTTCTTTGGATATTTATTTTCCTGCGAGGTGTGATTGGATTTGCAGCAGGTACATAAAGTTAAAGCTGAACAGCAACATTTTTAATCTTTTAACTCCCAGACATGATTAACATGTAACTTCTCCCTATCATATCCATACATCATCCAGCAAATCCGTAATAGGAATACTTAAACTAATCAAGTAGGAGTTTTTATCTTGATCTAATACCACATTGTTGTAACTAATTTACAATGAAATGTGTAACATCTAGAGGGGCGAAATAACAATCAGATCTTGGGGTTAAAGAGTTTATTCTGTATGGTGCAGTCTGAGCTGACAGCTCAAGTAGTGAAACCATCATCAAAACCTAATACAAGGTTTTCCACATCCTGGGTAACCAGTTTGTTTTTGTTCTAGCTGGCGCCATTCAAATCACGTTGATTCTGGTGGCTGAATACGTCAGTTCGACTCATCGACCAACCTTACTGTCATTTTTTTGGATTACCACAACTCTGGCCTACATGTCAGCAGCTGGGCTCGCCTATGCGCTGCAAAATATCCAAATGTTCATTCTTGGAATGACGCTTCCATTACTACTGACCGTTCTGCTGTGGAAGTATGTTCATTTTTAGTACTAAAATGCCAGTTTTTGCCTGACCACTTTATAGCGCATTAGATCATATCCACATGTATTTTGCGCTATATAAGTAATAAATTATAATTATAATTATATAGCAGGTTTACCGTTACCAAAGGCGGGGCTTCTAAAATACTTCTTCGGAGTTAAGGAATTTGATATTGCAGTTAGGTGTTGTCTTTCGGTGGGTTGAAAACTCATATGCGGACTTGAAAGCCGGGACTTTCTGATTTTCTTTTCTTGTCGTTCGACCTTTACAGGCCTGAAAGTTCCCCTTACGAACATCAGCTTGTTGTCGAGGCTACAGTCCGCCAACTACCAACACACTCCTCAATTGAACGCCAGTTTGAATGTTGCTGGAGCCTCAGGGAGGGAATAATTTCGCATTCAACAAAAACTGAGGCAGCATTTCTTTTTTTCAAATTTACCCACGCTCCTGTGGGCGAAGCCTAATCACGTTGCTTGAAATCTCGGAGTTGTGACTCACTGACACAGTTCGTATCTAAAGGACAAGCATTTTGCCTCTCTTAGGTTCGCTCCGGAGTCTCCCCGTTGGTTTCTACTCAATTCCTCCTCCGATGAAGAAATAAACGAGGCGCATGTGCTGTTGGAGCGAGCAGTTGACGAACGTCAAAGGAAAACCTCAAAATTTAGAGACTGTTTATCGATGTGGAGAAAATTTTATACCCCACCAAACGTGGAGTCGAACAACCGATGCTTTGCTTTTCTACGACGCAAGGATCCTCGAAGAAAAACAATTGTGTTGGCGTTTGCATGGTGAGTAAAGAAAGTTCTTGAACCGTTAGAGGAGCAGGGGTTGCTGTTTGACGAATAATAATGATGATTCGCTATCATTATATATTAGGTGATAGATAACTGCCATTCAAATCTACATGTGCCATTTTTTTATAGCAAGACATGGTACGTGTTTTTCTATCCCATTTTTTATTATTATTTTACCATTGCACACTGTTAAGCCGTTCACCCACTGTCTATCAGGGAATGTATAGCGAGTAGCGTAGCCAATCAGTTTGCAGCGTTTGTAATAAAATGCTAGGAGACTTATACTATTGATATATATCTGGTTATACCTCCCACCAACGCAGCATCACAGTTTCTATAAAAATTTACCTCCTTAATTCTAATGAGAGTTTTCTTCTACTACATTTGAATTGGGTTTGAAAGTCAGGGAGGTAATCATAATCTTGGTAGTTTGAGACAAAAATGGCGGTGGCGATAATGCAAAAGCACCCTGCTGGGGAATGCAGGTGCTGGTTTGGTGATTTGGTTCGCTGGCAATCAATTTGATGACGATGAAGTGGACGTTGACAATGACAATAGTATGTTGATTGTAGTGATCATGATTTTGCTGTTTGATGCAACCTCGTTCCAAGGATGAGAGAGTGCCTAGGAACTAGGTTGGTGAAGATGTTGTTGACGACAACGACGGTCATGGCGTTATCGATGAATAATGAAAGAAATAAACGAAAACAACGATCCTAGCAGTCGAGTTGTCGCAAGCAGAAACTTACTAAATTACACTAGTATTCGTTTCCTAAGGTCTAACTTTTCTTACTATTTTTCATGACAGGTTTTCCTTGGGAATATTGTACCGTGGACTGAACATAAGTTCTATACAGCTTCTTCCGAATTTCTATGCGAACTATGCAGTGCGAGAAATTGTCCACCTGCTTGGAGTTGCTTTATTCTTCTTTATGGTCACAAGGTAAAATGTTTACTCTCCCCTCCCTCATTCCCCCTGCATTTGTCTCTTACTCCCTCTCCCCGAGTTCCCCTCCGCTTCCCCCCTCCCTTCCCCCTTCCCCTCCGCCATACATGTCGTGTACGTGTCATGTGTTAAACTTTTTTCAGGATCGGTCGACGTGCATGCACGGTTCTTTCCATGATGTTCGCCGGTGTTTTCTGTTTGCTGTTCTCTCTCGCTTCTCGTGAATTTTTGAAAGCAGGTAACTGACCTTCGCTTTTCTTTTGAGTGTCATTTGACCAATAGTAAGGCAATCACAACAACCAATCAGAATGAAAGAAATTATTACAAGGACTCAAAATGAAAACAAGAAAGCGCGGGAAAATTAATTTTTTCGTCCTTGTCTACCTCGCGTAAAATGCTAGCTGCGCCCCTGATTCTTACACCTATTGATATAAACATGTATGCGTTTTTTGGGTCTTTTTTTTCAGAGCGTCATGCAGTCACGTTAGTGATTCAGTTAACAGGCCGTGTATGTATGATGGCTTCCCAGGCTTCGCTCAATTTATATTCCATTGAATTGTTCCCGACAGTAGGCAGGTGATTATACTTAATGTTAGATACTTTAATACTGATTGAGCCGTACGATCCGCGGGATACGGTAACGAGGTGGCACAGAAGAGCAAATCCCATTAAAAGGCGAGGTGTATGACTGTAGCGTTCCAGAGTATCGGAGATCTTGAATGAATAAATGTTAGAGCAATTCTATAATGTGGATTCAGTTCTTAGCTTTATGGTGTTAGTTTATCAGTCTCTCCGTTAGAAATTACAATTGAATTTTAGAATACGGTTTTTACCCCTAGTTTCAATTCATATCTACAGATGCTCGGCCGTTTGCTTGGTATTTAGTTTTGCCTACTTGGGCGAAGCGCTGGCTCCTCTGATCATGAAGCTCCAATTGCAGACTCAAGCCGTAGTGCCGCTCGGTGTGATGGGACTCCTCTCTCTGACAACTGGTTTTTTATGTCAATTTTTTCTTCCAAAAACCAAAGGCAGGGAAATTGAGACCTTTGAAGATAGCACGGAAATTGATGGTTTAAAAGAGAGGAGTCCAAAATTTTATCGAAGAAGAACGACGAATCGAAGATCACAGCAAGTTGAAATGACGGAAAGTACTGAAAACACAGTCAATGATGCGAGATGCGACGAAGACGCGGTAAGAAATGAACGCCTTTTTCCGTGAAAACTTCTTCTTTTTTAGAAAATGTTTATCTAATGCACAGTTTTTTCCTTTCTCAGAAACTTCGTCAAAGTTGGGAGGTATCGTTTGATCGCGTGTCTCAAACCTCACATTGGGAGGTATGGGAGTAGTTGACCGTAGCCTTCTTAAATACAATACCCTCATTCTCACAAAAACCTTGTTCGGTAAATAAAAACTAAGCTGGTTAGCTCAATTGGTATTATAACGAACCCACAAAATGACCAGCTTCCAGCTGGCTTGTTAGCATAGTTGGTAGAGCACTGCACCGGTATCGCATAGGTCATGGGTTACACTTCAGTAAAGGCCTGAATTTTTTTCAGGCCTTATTTCCACTACTGCTTAAATAGTGTTCATTACTGCGAAGATCTATTTCATATTTAGTTATTATTCCTCAGTACACATATATGATTTTCATATATTCACAGTCAGTGAGTGAAGTTTACAACTCCACGGTTCTTCAGTGAGGAACCAATTCTGGTGGCAACGTGCCATTGTAAAGATATTTACGTTTTTCTTAACAGATGCTGAGTTACGAAGACGCAAAAAGGAAGTAAGTGAGATAACCTTGTTGTATTTAAGCTGGCTGATGAAGGTAGTCAAAACAGGTCGTGCAGCAAATAAAGAAAACAGAACAGGTGTTCTGGACACCAGGCCCCAGTTGTTCGAAGGTCGGATAACCCTATATATTGAATAAATCGCCATCTGGTGGAAAGAGTAGTTCATTTTGTAATCCCTTATCCTTAGGATAGCGGTTTATCCGTTGGATAGTGTTATCCACCCTTTGAACAACTGGGATTAGACGGACACGTTGAACTTCCCGTGTCCAGATCATTTTGAGGAAAGTACCATTTCATGTGACTTTCTTGTCTAACAGTTGTTCAAAAGATGATTTGGTGCAATTGATAGTTCAATTTCATTTCTCTTTTAGGACTCTAAGCATCTCTACACATCAAAGCTTTGCAGAAGAATCCCATATACTGTCTGAGGAAGACATCGACAAGGTATCAAGTGTCTCAAGTTTTCTTAATTCAATCAGATCTTCTGCCAGTTGGCACGGAAAATGTTTCCACCGTTTCATCTAAAGTGTGTAATCAATTCCCTATCGCGAGCGAGCGAGGAGTGAAGCGTTGACAAATCTCGCGTGTTTTTACACGCGCCTCGAAACTCTCGCGTGAATATTTCTCAGTGGCTATCTAAACCTTGTATACTCGCGATTCCATGTGAAACGAGCTCATATAATGTAACAGGGTCTGTACCAACTCTTCCGCGGTTTCAATAAATTCTGAACAAACATGGTTTTCGATACCAAAATCTCTTAACTGATTGACAAGGAAATGTATAGTTGTTAGAAAAGGAGACTTGCTAATCAGATCCTGGGAACTTAAGGTTTAACCCGGTTTGATTGTTTTCAGCTGGCCCTTTATCTCCAATCAACAACGTGGATCTTGGCCTACAGCACATTTCAACATGGTATGAGTCTTAATACATTATATCACCGGGTCAGAGAAGTTGAAACTCCTGTTCTTCTGGTGGTCGAAGATAGCAATGGATTTGTAAGTATTTTTTGTCATTTTTTCTTTTATCGTTTGCGAGGCGGAATCAACCCTATCAAGATAAAATCCAAAAATGCGATAAAGCGTAACAGACCATCTGCATATAAGACCTTTTATCCAAAGATTGCCGATCTCCTAAATAAGTTGCCTCTAAAATACGCGTTTCAATGAGTATCCTGGCGGAAGGAAGCTAAATAGTTTTAAAAGGGAAGTGTCCAGAGAACGTTTCTCATAGTATTTAACGAAATATCGATGACTTAGCCTTGGAAGCCCAACCAAATGTGCCTTTTTCTGTGGCAGGTGTTTGGTGTGTTTTCTCCAGTGGCACCCAGGATTGGTCCTGACAAATTCTTTGGCGTTGGGAAATCATTTTTATTCACTTGTAAACCGAAATACGAGGTATGAAAACAATTGAAAGGAATTTTTATTCGCATTTAATGCGGTAGTAAGCTAGTTTTGCTTTACCACACTGTCAATCAGACACAAACTCACACTAGTCTCTCGCGTATCAACGTGCCTTTGGCTGTTTTCATGTATTGTCTTTGATTTACCATCGGCTGTGTATAACATTTATGTAAATTAGTTTTTTTGTTTTGTGTTTTTTATAAGAATATATTTGCCCCGATATGATAAAAAGTTTATATCAATCTCTGAATAATCGCGAAAGGAATGCAGCATTACTTTCGTCTGTCAACAATTTTTTTTTAGTTCTTCGGGTTATATAGTAGATGATCATTATATGTTGGGAAACGGGCGAGTTCTTGATTGGCTTTTGCTGATTACTGTGGTTTTAGTGTTAGGATACTCTATCAAGGTGTACTTCAGTGTTTCTGTTCCTTGTCTTTGTTTTTGACTTAGCGCATAGTTCGCTTGAGTTAACAACCTAAATTTAAATTTATTTACGATGTTGATTTCCTCAGATCTATCCATGCAGTGGAAAGAACAATTATTACATGACAGGAGACAACACAAACCTTGCATTTGGATGTAGCGAGTAAGTACTTCAAATAATGTTTAAAGAATTAAACGCGGTTAGCTATTTAATCTAAGTGGTTCAGAAGCCGGTGAGCTGTGCAGAGATGACGGCATTGTTTAAAAGTTGAATACCAGTTGGGTTTCTCTCTTTCTTTGTTGTTGTTTATGTTGTTATTTTAGACATTGTGTGATTGATGTTCAGTTCATAGTCGCCTCTCTAGACTGTTCACAGCCATCTATGACCATCTATTTGAGCACCTGAAATAAACGATGGGAGATCCAAGGCGCTTTCCGTTAGTCTAAAAAACCAATTGTGAATGTTTATTAATACAATTTATCTCCCCAACCAACGATGTGGCACGTAAACAAATTTTTTTACTCGACTTACCAAAGAACGGGTGCAAAGGTGACCTTAAAATAAAAAAAAATAATTCATGTTAAGCTTGACTTTACGGCAACCTGAAACTTAGCCGCTGATTGAAAACGCCCCAGTGAAGAGACAGTTGATTCTATAGTTCCAGAGAGACACGAGACAATTATCAGGGAGACATGTTTATAACTTTCAGGGGGAAATTTGGCTTGTGGCTGGACAGTGAACTTTACCATGGTAGAAGCACTGCGTGTGATACTTACAACAGTGAAATGCTATCCGCGACAGAGGACTTCATTTGTATCGGAGTGGAAGTCTGGGCATTTGGTTAGGTATGGTGTGACCAACGCGCCTGCCTCGCCACCGTGTCACGCACATCGACCGTTTTAGCTACCATCTCATCAGAAATATAACAATCACAATCCCTACACATCAGAGAGATACCTTTGGATGGATCTTTGAATCGATTTGATCACGCTTTAACAAAAACCATTTATTGACCTGCACAACAAATGGAAAGAATGTCAGTTTACTTATATACGTGTGTTTTCTAATTAACTACGAAATAACGCCAAATGGTAAAGCCATGAAGCAACTGTCATTCAATTATATAGATGAAGAAATTAGTCAATAAAAAATGTTATTATCGCGATTTATATCATGTAAAAATGACCAGAAAATCCTCAAGAAATATTCAATAATTATTCTCAATTAGATTTAAGCTCACGGAGATTTCCTTTTTAAGAGTTCGATTGATTCCGCGCGCGCAAATTGATAAGCTAAGTATGTAACGTAGCCTGCGGACTAGCTCGTCTCTCGGAGAGATGCTCCGAAGATGCTCGGAACATGCTCGTGCAATGGCGCCAATGAGAGCCTGGTCGTAGACTATTTGTTAACGGTCTGCAGAATATATATATCTGAATGAACCGATAATTCTCTTCGTTTCGGTTCCACTTTTAGGGTTAACCCTTTAACTCCCATGAATGACCAAGACAGATTATAAGTTGATCCAGTACCAAATTCTCCAAACTAACATCACAAGAACTGTATGGCAGACAGTAAGGAGAATTACTAGTGAGATCTTGAAAGTTATAGGGTTAAGTCCTCTTTATAACGTGTAGCACGCGTGTAGTAGCAGTATTTTTGCAGAAATGCGGTACAAACGTGATGAAATACAAATTATACAGATGTTACATAATTTAAAGTATCAAAATAAATCGTTTATCAATTAATTTTAATATCAGAGAGATTTGAAATAAATGAGAAAATACATCTATCATGAAAAAAAATTGTAAATAGTTTGTCATTATTGTGAGTAAGATTTATGATGATCTAAAGAATTACACAGTTGAACATTCTCAGATTATTACAGACGAGCTGATTCTTTGGCAATAAACCAACAACCATAGAATAGGAAGAATGCTTAATTAATGCAAATATGATTAATTCCTTTCCAAGGCAATGTAAAACTCTGTGAAATACTTATTTTGTATTTAATGACGTTACAAAAGCAAAGGAAGTTTATATAAAAAAAAGTGTATGCTTTTTAACATTCAAATTATAAAAAAGTGCATTTCTTTAGTAAACAGGTAATGAGGAGAAAAAAAACAAAAACTAACTGCTTCTTGAGGAGTATTGTCGCCTACCACGGAGCACTATTTTCTTGATGCAATAATGATAGTCCAAAGTTGTAATACGAGTGCAAAGTTGTATTAAGTGTACAAAGTTGTAAAAGGGGTAAGTTTCTAAAGAAACTGTGGTGCTGCGTCGGTGGGAGAGTACAACACTAAATTACCCCGTTATACAAAGTTGTAACACGGGTGCAAAGTTGTAGTACGTGTAATAAGTTGTATCACGAGTGCAAATTACGAATAGTGTGCGCACTGTCAAAATTTTGTCTGTCTTGATTTTTCGTGATGCTTTATCGTTTAAATTATAGTAACCTGATTTCTTGTGCAATTTGGTGTAAATGAGCACTCATAAATGTTTCAGACTAGTGAGAAATTGCGCTCGCCCTAAGGGCTCATGCAATTTTGTGGTCTTTGAGAAATTTACCTGTCCATATTAAAACCCAATTGCACTCAAAATCATGTTATTACCAATACTAATATCTATGGACTATGGGCTGTCTAAACGTATCGTTATCACCACTACCGTGTGGTTAGATTTACAGCTTTAAATTTTGTTGACCAATAAACGTGATTCATGAAGTGTTGTGATTGTTACCCAGTTCATTTGTTTACTTGTTTCTTAAAGTCGTTGATTTTACAATTCCTCAATAGAACACCATGTAATGTAACTTTTTCTCATCTCTATCTTTGTTAGTCACATGTGTGATTATGTGCACAATACTAGAACTCCTGTCGATAAAGTGTGGTAAAGGAGTCAATCTCGGGATATCGATCGGTGACAGAAGGTTCTTTCCAAATCCATCCGAAATCTCCCGATTTAGGAGTAATCTAAGTAAAGACGTCCAGAGGAATTGACCTTAAAATGAGGCGAGAATGGTAGATTCAGTTGCTTTGCACAATTTCATCTTGTGACCTAAGCTGACCTCTCAACCTTAGTTCCTATTCGTCTAATGCGTTCGCGTGACTCTCGTTCCGCTCACATTTCTCCTCCTTTGCTAAATAGAAATAGAGAACTGTTGAATCGGTACATGGGCAAGTTCAAGAAGGTTAACAGTATTTTTGGTCGACAATTAAGTGCAATTTATCAACATGTAGTCACCATTTGTTGCAATATCACGTTACCATTACCTTAAAAACTGCAGGATTTTACCTCAAGATCCTTCAGGTAAAGATAGATTTCGGCGACATTTAAAATCAATCAGCTATGATATAAAATTAAAAAGAGTGGTACTGATAACAAAACCTTATCTGAGTTCTTCAAGAAAGGAAGCTCAACGAACAAATACGTTTTTCTTTCCTTTTTCAAAGAGCCAGTCCTTAAAGTTCGTGTTTTTGATACTCTGCTTTTGTTTATATGTGCTTGTGCGTCGGGCAAGAGAACATAATGGAACATTCCATGTTATTTTCTCCTGGTTAGTGAAAATCAGCACAGAGGGCCATTTTCAGAATAGTGTAATTTTACCAAAGATGACCCTATTCGTTTCGATACCTCTTTCCCCTTTATATTTTTATTTCATAATCCCAGGAAAGCCTTAACAATATCCCTTATTCTCTCTTGTACACAACCTGTGTAATGACGTTCAAACGAACTAGAACCCAGTCGATCCTCTGGCCCAAGGTGCGGTCGGGGAGTTTAATTTTGGGTTACCGATGGGTAACGAATCAAACAAGAGGCTGGATGGAAGAAGTCTTTTTAGCAGTATGTTCACGTAAGCAAAATTCGTAGTAGGATCGGTTGTTTCATGATCCAAATGAAATCTCCACGATCGGGAGAAATCTGAAGAAGCAAAATTAAGAGAGATTGGCCTTGGAATTAGGCGTTTGATTGAGTAAGGGGCTGAAAAGAAAAGTTACTTTCAGGCAAGCAGGCGATTTCAGTTAGAAACGAGAACATCTTAAAAACAAAAAAACAAAAAACAGAAAACTGATCCAAAAAATCTTTCTCATTATATATCTTCCTTGCGGCTTGCGAGTGGCAAAAACCCATAGCTTGTGCCTTTTACATGAGTCTATCGCTTAGATAATCTTATCTGCACTTTTTATTTCTACTCTCGGTCAGAGGGTTCGTGGTCACCTTTTAGCGATGAGATAAAAGAAAAATGATCAAACTAAGAAGAAGATTTAAACTTTACTTCACGCAACCTTTTTTGGTATTGCACAGAGAACACTAACAATATTTTCAAACGAGAAATATTTTATGTTGTGTCTCTCGGTAAATATACATATACTAAATATGCACTTGGCAGCCGGAACTTTCCTGAGTTAGCTTTCATCGATCAGAATTATAGTTCAGTCAATGATACTAACAATATGGTATAAATTACAGAAGTTATCTGTTATTTCGAGAAGAAATTCCTTATATTTATATATCTGTTTGCTTGCGAAGAGATATGATTTAATTCATTTGCGAAATTCTAACATACGTCGTTAACGAGTTGTCATAATTCCTTTTCCCATATGCTTAAATGAAGTTTTTTTGGGGTCAAAAGCAACAATAGCTATGGCTAAAAAAATTTTAAGTTTACTTTTCATAGAACTTTAATCCCCTGTTGAATTTTTCAATTCATTGCTGAAATTTGAATTTGGCAAGTTCAAGAAGGTTGTCGGTTTTTGCGGTCAATAATTAACTGCAATAATATTGGTTTCATTTGAAATATTCTTGGATCCATAAAAAGGCATCATTGGTTGCAATGTCTAGTTTTTCTTTACCCTTGAAACCACAGAATTTTGGCGCGAGATCTTTAAGGGCAAAAAAGTCAATTTAGGCGACAGTTAAAATTAATCAGCTGTAATATAAAATTCAAATGAATGGTATAACACAAGCTTATTTGAATACTTTGACGCTTACGAAGAAAATAGAATTTCTTCTTTCCCTTTTTGAAAGGGCCATTCCTTAAAGTTCGTGTTTTTGATACTCTGCGATCAGAGCTAAAACTGAAAAATGACAACCTATAATTGCCCCAACCAGCCCAAAGAAGGCGACTGCTGAATCGACAACAAAATCGTACCATTGCATTCTAGAAAAACAGATTTTCATGTGGAAAATCGCCGGAAAAATAAATGCTAGACACATTCCTGTAAAGCTACCGACTAAAGCTAGATATAAACCAAAATGAGGAACTAACACTCCTACGAATAACGTAAAGGAAACTATACACAAGCGCGCTGCAAGCGCCTGTGCGTAGGAAATTGTGTCTTTTGCCTGGCTGGGACTGTCTACTTTACACCAGGGAAACTCAATGTTTTCCAGAGTGTCGAATGCTGTGTACACTGGTATTGTGAACGATGTAACGGCCAGTAGAAGGACGAGTAGGTTAACGCACACATGAAGTCCACCGATGGGGAGATTGTTGGTTATGACTTGGTCTGTGTCTTGAGTGAACGTGAGATATCCGATGAGGCCAAAGCTGACCTTCACTAAGGTTATGGCCATGTAGGTGACGTTCATTATAACGCTAAATTTTTGGGGCTCTTTCATGCTACCTTCAATTGCTGGCATGTAAGGCTGCGATGAATAACTCACAACAACGATTCCGACAGCTGCACCGAAGCTCTTCAGCTTGAAATCGGGTAGCGATGCAAAATTCCAGCGCTCGTGATGAAGGACGCCGTACATTGTGACCGTGAGGTAAATGATTCCTCCGATCATGACCGTCAGGAAACTTACCCACGATACTTCTTTGAGAGATTTGAGAAAGATGTTTGGAAGCAGAAGCATGGCTCCTAACGCTGTCCAATGGCTTTGATAAAGCGGCACGAAGGGAAACGTGGAGGCCAAAATGGAACCGCACAGAATCAACAGCACCGTGCAGTACGAGAGCTGTTCAAACATTTGCGCCGCGTTGACCAGGTGTCGCCCGATTTTCGGCGAAAACGCTTCTCCGATTTCGACATAGCTGTTTCGAACTCGGAATGGGATCTGCTCTGGTGAATATTCGTACAGACACTGCACCAGAATCTTATTGGTAAAGTTGGAAATAAAGGCTATGGCAAGTATGCTGAAAAGAGCCATATAACCTCCACTTTTGACAACATATGGCATGGCCAATATGGCAACTCCTTGGTTTGAATTAAAAATGTTCCAGAAAGTTTGCAAGTTGGTCGTCTTGTTGTGGTCATCCTCTTCCATGGACGAAATGGCGTGATTATTTTCTTTATCTTCTTCTGCAGCTTCTTGATCGCTTTCGTCGTCTGAGACATTTCGGAGAAATTTGTAAGCTCCATAGATATGTTCTTGAATTATTGACTTCATTTCTGTCTTACCTAAAGTGCTTTGGTTTTTGTATCTGAGTCACTCTCTGTTTTGATATCACTCAGCTTTTAGCAGCATGGCGGAAAGGAATTTTTTTTCAATTCGTGGTTTTTTTGTCTCCTACCACTTTTTAAACCCACGCGCCCTCCTCAGCGGGAATTGATATCAAAATCTGGAAAATATGCTATGAAGTTCTTTTCAATTTTAACAATAATTCTCTGATACACCGCCGCTCGCTGACACAAAATTTCGCCAGTTTTCAATTGGTCTCAAAGATGTCCCGTAAATAAAATATGCTTTCCTTGAATCAGAGCAAATCTGATTGGATTTTAAGCTTCTTAATTCACTGAAGCTAACACTCGTTATTAAAGCGTTAAAATTCTTCCAAGCTGTTCTGATGCATAAATTATGTTGATGTCACAGGTGCAAAAAATATCCAAATTCTGGGATTGTTTAAAGCCAATTTTTAACCTCGAATGATAACAGCCTGAAAAAATTATTTATTAAAATTTTTTTTCCGGAGTATTATTATTCATGAGGCAAATCAAAGGTAATCTCTCCTATAAATTTCGACGGGTAAAAGAGCTTCTTCGTAAGGAATCATTCGAAACACTTTTGAGATTTCTGCGGCAAAAATTGTGATGTAATGTTTAAGAGTTTAAGATGACAAGTGTAAAATTTGCGTAATGCTTCCAGACATATAACCTAAATAACAGCTGCTAAGTGCCGTATTTCACACAACTTTTTTTCCATTAAACACCTTTGGATTAATCTTTTTTTTTCGATATTAAAAATAAAGTAAACTTCTCAAAATAAACAAGTTTTAAAGCAATGAAAATCCTGTTTTCAAATTAGAATTTGTTTATATTTAAGATGATTCTTCATGAATTGTACAAATTTACGGTAAAACCTTTTTGTCCAATCAGCGACAATCTTTTGTCGGTCAACCGAATGAAGACGTAATTCCTTTTTTCTTTTTTTTTTTTGACCTTGGGTCTTAAGATCTCCTGAAATAGACATCATTTCACAACGGCCCGTCGGGAAAAAAAAATACCACAAAGAATCAGAGGAACGCAAATTAAAAACAATAGGCCGCTAGAAGCGTCAGAAAACGCGAGTAACGGCTAAGTAACTTAGGATTGGTTGCAATTCCTTGGTTAACAAGGTAATGCATTTTTACATCAATCACAAAGCGAAGGAAAGAACAGTAATGTTGTACCACTTTTACAGTCGGTTAAAAATTGAATTGAAATTAGGAAGTGATGCTCGAGGCAAAGGCAAGTTTTAAGTCAATGACACGCAATCGATTGCGGCAACGATAAAAAAGTTTTTTCTCAACGCTTTGTATGCTTATGGGATACCATCATTTCGCTTGAACGGCGTATTTATTAACGCTTTCACTCCAAGCAATGACCAAAAATTGATTTCTCCTTACGATGAAATAAATTTTTAAGTCGAAAGGCGATGAGGAAAGAGAAAAAAAGGGAAAAAGTCACTTAAGGGAATATTTTTTTTTATTTAAAACCGAATTCTCATCGTTAGAATTAAAAAGAGCCTGGGGTGTGTAATGGCGATAAACATTACGAACTAGGGAGTGGATAGTATAAAACTCATAAATTTTGAGATTACTAGTCAACGCCAACGTCTTGGAACGTTCTCGGTATCTCTTCACAGTGACTTCTTTTCAGATTCACTCCTGTTATTTAAGTTTAGCGCTAAACATAGTTCTGTGATGTCAATATCACAACCATGACTGCTTGAATGTGCCTGCTTCATGAAGTCTGATACAGATGAAGATATTTAAAGATAACACCAATGAATATTGAGATTATGTGGTTCGTCTAGTTCAGGAAAATACAAGACCAGTTAAAATTAAGCTGTTCTATTGGTGTCATTATTCTCTCTTAATGTCTTAAGTCTGTTATCATATGACCCGTAGAGACCCGTATGGACTCGCCTGCATAATCTCATCGAAAGCAATCGTGTAACTTAATAGGTGTAGAGCTAGACGGGCTGACGTGAGCCGATCCGGAAAAACCCGTCCGTCCCTGCACTTACAATACTTTGTTGAAAAACCTTAAAGGAGAAATGGAAATATTAAAAGAGGTCGCCGTTTTTCGATAAATTAGTTGTAAGTTTTTTTTCTGACTCGAAAACACACGGGAAAAGTACAGTTTTTATTGTAGTTTTTATTTTCGTGGTTGTCTCTCTTGCGTCCGTCTTCCGCGTCCTATTCAGGTTGACACAAAGTTTTAAAAAATTTTCAACTCATAGTGGTCATATGACAAGTACGTATTATGTTACATCCATTTTAGAGAACCAGGGTAATTTCTAAGCTTCAGTACTACTTCAAGGAATCGACAAAGTAAGGAACGTGGATGAGCAAGGATTTCCTGCCCTAAACGATTGACAGCCCCTGGACAGTCATCTCAATAACTTTTACACTCACTTACTGTTGTAAATAACCCCTGGCAATGATCTCATCAACTGAAAGGCGAGCGATAACAATCGCATTAGCTTTGGAAACCGGAAAAGCTTTCATCTAACGGGTGGGTTAATCACTAAAAGCAAAGATACACCTCCTCAGTGTTTTTGTGCGACAAGCAAAGTGCTGAGTAGAAATCCTCTTACTGTTTAATCGATAGAGTGTACAAATATTAGAGAAGGGTATTTCGCCACGTGTCCATCTAGAGCTTGTTTTAAAACCCACAGACGCTTCGTACTAAGTCGATTCATGCTCAGCTAAGACCACTGATACCCTGTCAGAGGGTCTCAACGAGGTGATAGCTTTTACGACTTTCGATTAAAATTTTGGCCACTTTACGGCTAACAGTTAATATAATCCCATTGTTGTCGCCAGAACTTTCTTTTATCTTTTTTTCACAACAATCGGTTAAAATTTGTCAGTTTTTACGCCTACGGGCTAAGTTGTTAGGCCGTTTGTACATAATACCGGAGACATTTACTCGTAGTTTACCCGTTTGACTCTTTATTAACTTCACTTAGTTTGAAATCCCCACCATTTTAATCAATTTACCGGATGTACTCACAAGACATTGCTGTCTAACCTTTGTCCTTTATTTGCTAATCTATTGCACTACACGTCAATGATATAGAGCCGAGATATGCACAAGCCACTCACGTTCATCAGCATTTTAGTCCTATAATATGTCTACTGTACTTTACTTTGAGTTCGATCGATACATATCAAAACTAACAGCTTTATTATTTATTGCACTTGATGCGGGGTGGGAGTGGGGGTGGTGAAAGGGTGAATACTTCCCTATCTGCCCACCCTGGACAGATAATACTGTGATTTTGACCAATTTCCTTTCACGCCGAGGTGGGGGAAGGGGGGGGGGGAAGAGGGGGTAGGAGTGAATATTTCCCTATATGCCTTCCTCCTTAGACAGGTGTAGTTTTGATTTAATTTTGAATTAACTGCTCTTGACGCGGAAGGGGGGGGGTTAGGGAGGAAAACTTCACTTTCTGCCCACCCTGACCAAGTAAATAGGACTTATTTTGAAATAATATTGCCCGAATCTGTACGTCACTTCCTAGCAAAACATCGCCTTCGCCGTTCTCCTGAATTCTGGTATTCTGATCGCGTATAATAAGGGGTTTACTAAAGAATTAGCTCCGACTAAAAAGATGATGAAGCAGGTTAAGTGCGACGGATATGTGCTAAATATCTTAGTTGTGTACCAAAGGAAAGATTGCACTATAAATGGTAACCACATCATCAGCGAGACTACAGTCACAATGAACAGAGTCATCGTCAGCCTACCTTCCATGCCAGCTGCAGTATGATGACGAGGCTGAGAACCACATTTGACTTTGATGAAGATGAGCGAATAGGAGAAAACTATAATCACGATACATATTGAGATCAATGAAGTTGCTACATTATGAGACTTTTCAAACGGATAAATACGAGGAATTACCAAGGATGTAATGGAAAACAGCGCAGATATCAAATAACTGGAGACTATTGCTATTAGGTAAGATCTTCTTTTAAGGAAGCGATGCCTGAATGGTCGAGCAGTGGCGTGCAGCCTCTCCACAGAAATAAGTGCAATATTGACGAGCGAGGAAATTGAATAAAGCAAGCGGAGCACCCTCAAAAAATAATCTTCCAATAAACCCAGTGAATTCTCCCAAAGTTTACAGTATGTTCCAAGTTCATAAACTGTGAAGGTTCCTACCAATCCAACCAGCATATCAACTACTGCCAGATTTACGAGCAAATAAGTACTGCGCTTACGCAGGCTGCAGTTCTTCGTGAAAACAATGATGGTTATGATATTGAGCGTTACTATGGCAACGCATCCTATGATGTGAACCGTTGTCCAGGCGATGCACTCATGTGATGAAAGCATTTTCCACCTTTACTTGCTTACTCTCTTCTAGTTGATTTGTGATGTGAACTTGCCGGTTTCTTTGTTCGTTATGTTCTTCTTCTTTTTGCGCCTGATATAAACATCAACTATGTTATTTAAATTTCTCTCGGAGATAAGTCCAAGGAATGAACTGGTCATTTGTTAGGGTAAATTTCGGACGTTTTCAATGCAAATTATTGTTTATCGATTGAAACTCTTCAAATGTTCACTTGTCTATCTAGTGCGGACTAATTGAGCTTCAGCGCACCCGACAAATTACCTATCTAGACTTGGATTGGTAGTTTTCTATTATCAGAATGGTTTTTCTTCGTGAGATCACCGAGTGCAATCTTGTGAGGCCGTGAAGATGAGTAAGGATGGAGAAGACATGTCATGATGACAAATTTCAAATAATTGGAATTTTTTCAAGGCAAATGACCTCCGCTTAACTCCCAAGAGGTGTACTTTCTTACCAACCTTTTTTCTTTCTTTTCCTTTCCTTTCCTTTTAATCCCGAGAAGAAGAGAAACCTCCAGTAGGTAATCAAGACTTTTTAATGTCGTCCGCCTTCCACAACTGAGGTGCACTTTGTGTTGTGTTTTTTTCGACCCTTATCCCAAATAAATATGTTCTGGAACAACTGAAGAACAGTTTCGAAACCTGTAAGTGCTTTTACGTAAAGAAAACGCATAATTTCCAAAGTGAACCTGATCATGGTGATAAAGGTTTGTCCCGCGAACCTAAAAATACCAAACTAAATCACAATGATGATGCGGGGTGAAAGATATTTCCAAGTCTGTTTTGACTTGTACTGACTAGCTTTTCTTCCAACCATGATTTTATACAATCATAGTCAGAGGAAGCCCGTGTAAGCAGCCAGGTTATTAATTCTTGTCGGTCCCGTGTTTGCACTATATGTGAGCCCCCAAACTTAATCAAATAAAACAGCGACTCAATTTTACTCTCAAAACGGGTTTTGATAACGTAAAAGCTTCTTTGGTTTGCTAATTCTATTTCCATAGACAGAGGAAGTGGAACAAGTCAACGGACGCCTTTTATCAGATTCTATCGACATGGACTATCAATTTTTTTTTTACACCTTTCCATTATGAAGTCGATTACCTTTATCTGTGAGGTATAATATTCGAGTACTGGTGGACTTAAGACAACAGATAAATTGGAAAAAATGCTCTTCACAAATGAGAAAAGGGAAATTTTACTCTTTCCATGCTTGCGTTGCTTCCTGTCCTTCAACTGATAGATACAATAGAGAAATAGAAACACTGTACTCGTCATCTCCATAACAATAGCAATCTTTCCACATCATTACTCAAACAGGTTAAGTCCGTGAGAGGGACATTAGTGATCATTCTATTTAACGTTTGTTTTCGGTCCCCATGATTTGTCTGTTTGAGTTCCCCTGACACCTTGAACATTTTATCATTTGGATCTCGCCACCCATTTCCATTCCATTGCAAGTGTTATGAGACACGCACAACAACAAACAACGCTACTTTGTAATGATAGTGTATGGTACAACAAGTCTTGAGTTCAATAATAATAGATATTGCATAGAAGGTTCGAAACCACGACCATGACAGATCCGACTGAAAGGCATCGAATAAATGTAGTTGGGTACTTGATATCGTGAAATATTGAACATGACGTTATAAATTCACCTGAGTGGGAAGTAAATTGATAAGAAAATTGGAAACCTTTAAAATTATAAAAAGTTATCCAGCGTTAATCTGTCATCAATATCTTTTACACAGAATATTACATCACTCTGATGATTTCAGCTTATTAAGTAAGGACGAGTGAACATGGACTGTTCCATTGACCGAAAACACGCCTATACCTCAAAGATTTCATGGATATGTGATGAGTTTTGGTTGGGAAGTGACTTTGCCAATTGAAAAGGAATATTTCGAAGGTCTCAAATGTCGTTGATATTTTTAGACCGCGTAAGTTTTGAAACTACACATCTTCATGTGTACACCTGTTAGAGGGTCCAAGTCATTTGATATGCACTATCAACAATTTAGCACAAAGAAAAAGTAAATTGCTCTCAATACATGTGGTTGTAGTTAGTAATTATTTGTTAGCAATACTCGGTGAATTCCATATATCTGCATTTTAAAGTTTCTTTGAAGTGAACGGGACACTTTAAACTAAACTAATTCGATGACTACCGCAAACCGCAATACCAAGTACAATTACTATACAAGAAAAGCGAAAATAGAACGAATAGGCTTATCTAACCGGAAAAGAATTTGACTAAGGAAGCGGTAAACCTCACACATGGGATACAGGATACTGCGAAAATGGTTTCACATTCAACCCGTCAACTTTTAGGAGTGACTAACATGCTACTTCTCCTTACAATACCGAGACATTCTTCAGGAAAAAATGGTGGTGAAAGCATAGAAGCTTTAGTATCAGGGAGAAGATTTAATCTTAAAACAAAACAAACTTCTTAAATGTAAAAATGGTAGTGAAAGCATACAAGCTTTAGTATCAGGGAGAAGATTTAATCTTAAAACAAAACAAACTTCTTAAATGTAAAAATGGTAGTGAAAGCTTACAAGCTTTAGTATCAGGGAGAAGATTTAATCTTAAAACAAAACAAACTTCTTAAATGTAAAAATGGTAGTGAAAGCGTACAAGCTTTAGTATCAGGGAGAAGATTTAATCTTAAAACAAAACAAACTTCTTAAATGTAAATGGGTAGACGACTCTAATTTAATAAAAAAAAATTTTCTCAGCACAGATTCTGTTACCCAGTTGTCCATGTTTCGAAATGACTTCATAAGTCAGAACTTTCCCGGTAAATATCTTTAAAAGGATTTGAAAAGACTCCCAAGAAGTTTTAATTTCTTCTTATCGCCAGCACGAGACAAAGAAAACATTCTGAGTTCCCATGAAGAATCAAACGTAAGACGTTAGGTAATTTAGTTCATATTTCAGCGCCACGCTAAACACCAAAACATAAGCCAGTTGGGCAAAATCCCAAGACACGTCATCGCAAAGGACCACGTGCCCAACATCCGGGCTTCTTTTATTGATGACGTCACGGTTTGGTAGACAGTTGTAAGAGTGGATTGAAGTATGATGTTGATGTTAGCTTCGGTTTGTGAGACAATTACGTTATAGGCCAGCGAAAGGAGAAATAGAATCATCGGCGGCGATACCAAAACTAGTAGCACTGCTTGGAGAAGACGGCGACTCCTGTCAACAAAATGCGAACAAGAATTTTAATCATCATCTTAAAATGAACGTATAAAGTTTTTGCAAATCAATGACAAGTCATTATTGAAGTTTACTGATTACATCAGCTTTGAAGAGTTTCTTTGAAAAATGAGAGGAGTTCCAGCTGAAGATTTAATTTTCCATTTCAATTAGTCTTTGATCTTCTTACACTGACGGGTAATTTTGGATGAAGAAGTAAACCTTGAGAGACTTTGAACATCAGTGATAATAGCATTAGCCTAGAGAATGTTACTGCAAAATGATATTGATTTGAGACAACAAACAATACAAAGTAAGAACGACTTTGAAACATTGCACTGACGGTACTAGGAAAATTTCAGGTAGCCACTTCGACAAAGTGGAGGTGTTGTGAAGGGGTAAGCGATGATCAAGAATAACGTTCAGCAGGAGTAGTGACACACGTGGTCGCCTCATGCTAGAGAAACCCAGGTGGATTCTGGTCAGTAGTAGTGTACGATGTTTTTGATATGCGCAACGATGAGGCAAAAAAAAATTTGGACATTTACAATTTCCGCAATTAACCAATAAATGAATGAACTACTAACCTCCTCCCCCAAGGGGCCACCAACAGGTATACAGGCACTTGGAACATGCTAACCAAAAAGGCCAGAGAGAAATTTATGGCCGCCATTGCTCCCATGAGAACAGAGAAGAGTATCAAAGCTCCACATTTGAGCATATAATGGCTTCGAAGGGTCACATGATGAGAGCTTACGTCACTCGAATACCTTCAATGGAGCATAATAGTGAAATTAGTGGCTTGTATCATGGATCTGCCTTACACCATCAATTTTCGTTTGACAAGCCTATTTTTGGCTGTGTTTACTTGGGAAATTTGTAGCTTTATCTTTGTCCCTTTTAATAGGAGTTTTAACAGGTATCCTCCCAAAGAAAAACTTGACAACGACAAAATTTCACTCATACAACTTAATTTGGCAAAGAAAGAGTTCCAGTGTAAACACGGGTAAAGCGAAGAAAAGGACGGTCATTTCACAAAAAAGCAATTGAAATTATTCATCAAATGAAAGAAACCTAAAAATTTCTTTAAACAAAAAAACAAAAAACAGTACAATTATTTCACTGGCGTTGAAAAGCCTGCCGGCAGATGCAAGGGAGCATAAGTTGAGAAGTTCTAATACAAAATATATGCACATTCATCAAACTTAATCAAATGTGACAACTTAATTTCTGTTTTCTTTAGTTTATCGCCATTCGAAGTTCACCTGCGCATTGAATCATATTTAATAAAGTGCACTCTGTCTAAAATTAAAAAGAAATACGAAATGACTCTTGCGAGTCCTGAACTAGAGAATCAAAACGGGAATACAAAGTAAACCATAAAAACACGCTTTGTAACTCCTTTTGCAGCAACAGTTCAAGGATATAAATTCAGATCATTAGTGTTTACAATGGTGCTTCACATTTACAAAAGTATTTACTTAAAATTTGCTGACACAATAACTTGACGCATGAGTTAGTTAAAAATATTTCCTCCATTTCAGAAACAGAGGGCATAAATTCTTAACTATCTTGTTCGACCAATTCATCTACAGACAAGTTCTCCTTAATCAAGTAAATACAGAGGGATTTTTTTAGAACCCTTTTTTACGCGAATGGAATGAACACCACTGCTGTTTACCCTACACCTGTTTGAGTAATGATATGGAAAGATTGCTATTGTTATGAAGATGACGAGTACAGTGTTTCTATTTCTCTATTGTATCTATCAGTTGAAGGACAGGAAGCAATGCAAGCGAGAAAATAGTTAAATTTCCCTTTTCTCATTTGTGAAGAGCATTTTTTCCAATTTATCTGTTGTGTTAAGTTCACCAGTACTCGAATATTATACCTCACAGATAAAGGTAATCGACTTCTTAATGGAAAGGTGTAAAAAAAATAAATAATTAATGGTCCATGTCGATAGAATCTGATAAAAGGCATTCGTTGACTTTTTCCACTTCCTCTGTATGGAAGTAGAATTAGCAAACCAAAGAAGCTTTTACGATATCAAAACCCGTTTTGAGAGTAAAATTGAGTCGCCGTTTTATTTGATTAAGTTTGGGGACTCACATATAGTGCAAACACGGGACCGACAAGAATCAATAACCTAGCTACTTACACAGACTTTTCCTGTTTGACGAAAGGAAATATTTGTGTCAACAAATACGTGTCAAAATATCTCGAATGGTTCTTGTGAAGCAGTAAGTTTCTTAATAAGTAATTCTCGCATTCAATTAAGCCCTACCAGGCTACACGAAGGAGGAAGTACGACTGCATAGCTGCGAGCTTTTGACCATGCAACGTCTAGGAATCGTCTCCCTCTTGTCCATTTTAAGCGTGATAGATCCCATACATCAAACGGACACCAAGTTTTATCAGAATCGAATTTTCAAGCCAGCAGATGTTACATTAGGGGGTCTTTTTGATGTCCACTTCAATGGACCCAACGATGACTGCGGCGAGTTGTTTACTATGGGCCTTGGCCATGTCGAGACCATGTTGTTCGCCATTGAACGCGTCAACAACGACTCTACCATCTTACCAAACGTCACTATCGGTTATGACATTCGAGATTACTGCGAAAACGCAGCAATAGCCATGAGAATGGCGAACGACTTGGTTCAAAACACTGATGCAGTCTGTCGGGCAGATAAGAACCGCACGTTGGATGACAATTCTTCACCTACGCAGCCAGTGGTTGCTCTGATAGGCCCGCACGACTCGGCAGGCGCTGTTCTGGTAGGAAGTCTTCTCCAAGTGCACGAAATCGCTGCAATCAGCCCTACAGCCACAAGCCACGAACTCAGCTCCAAAATGTACCAGGATTTTTTTCGCACAATCCCTTGCGATATGTGGCAGGCGAGAGTCATGGCCGACATTATCGAGCATTTCAAATGGACCTACATCGCCGCTGTCGCTATCGATGACTCGTACGGACGTCAGGGTGTTTGGGCGGTGGAAAAAGAGATATACCGACGAAGAACCTTTTGCATCGCTTTTTCCGAGTTTATTCCAAGACTAGACTACCAGGAAAAGCTCGTTCAAATTGTTATTAAGCTCAAACAACAGCAGAACATTGGAGTCGTACTTGTGTGGTTATCAGGCGGGTATGCAAGAGCTTTTCTCCACGAGACACACAAACAAGGCGTTCGCGACCGTACTTGGCTATTTAGCGACGCTATGACCGCCGAGGAAAGCGTGCATCTTGACCCGCGCTTTGCAGGACTCGATGGGTCACTTGGAGTTCAGCCTCAAGACTTCCGACACTTACCCTTTGATGAACATTTGAAGCACTTAACACGAAACGCAACATTGAAGAGAAATTCGGCATGGTGGGATGAGTTTTGGACACAGATCTGTAACCAAACACTGTCTGATTGTAAAGACAACATTTCTTCACATCATTTGATTAGGCAATTTCGCAGCTCATTTGTTCCGTACCTTTTAGATGCCGTGTACGCAGTAGCTCATGCTCTCGACAACATCTACAAATGCGTTGAACCGAACGGTCTTCTGCCTGAAGGAAAATGTCCTGGTGTTATACCCGTGAATGTTAGAAAAAGCCTCCCAAACTACCTTAAGAACGTAAGTTTTCACGGAGCCACTGGCAAAGTGCAATTCAACCATTTTGGAGATCGATTAGTGGCCTCCTACGATATCATCAATTTTCAGCGAAACAAACAGCGAGAGAAAAAGTACGAAAAAGTTTCGGTTGGGTCTTGGATGAAAGACAGGAATCCACAACTAACACTAAATTCAAATGTAGTATGGAACACACTTTTAAATCAAAGTGCTCCGCGGTCAATCTGCGCTAAAGACTGTTCTCCAGGAACCAGGCAGTCGCCAACCACGCCTTGCTGCTGGAAGTGTATCAGGTGCCCGCTGGGCAGCATAAGCACGCGTCACAACTCTCGTAATTGCACCGAATGCTCACAAACACAGAAATCGAACGAAGAACGAACGCGCTGTGTTGATTTACCAATACTACGCATGCAAATGAACAGTGTAAGTGGTGTACTTGTAGCAGTTTTCTCTGCTGTCGGACTCGTCCTGACATTCGTCACCTGGGGCACCTTGGCGAGGTATTTCAACACACCCGTAGCTAAGGCGGCCGACAGAGAAATGAGTTTGATCCTCTTGGTAGGGATCACTTCTCTGTTTGTCATACCTCTGTTGAATCTCTCCGAATCGGCCAACACAATCTGCTGCTTCAGTCACTGTGGACGTATGACGATTTGGATCATGTGCGTTGCCGTGCTTCTTGTAAAGACGATGCGTATTGTCAGCGTGTTTCAAGGTCACAGCGTCGTGCGGAATGCCAAGCCCTTTACCGCCAAAGCCAGTACACAGAGAGCTCTCCTGGCGACTCTTACCGCTGTTCAGATAGGTTTAACGGTAGTTTGGCTCATTACTGGCCCGCCTTACAAGAAAATCACCATCACTCATCTGCAGCACATTTCGATTGTATGCAAGGCATATTCTACCCTTATTGGAAAAAACATCTTGCTCGCAAACATCGCGTACGGAGTTTTTCTGTGGCTGTTTTGTGCGTATTACGCTTTCAGGGTGAGAAATATCCCCGAAAACTTCAATGAAGCGAGGCGCATCGGCTTCTCCATGTATATTTTATTTCTCTCCGTAATATCATATTATCCGGTAGCGCTCGCGATCGAAGGATGGTACATAACTGTGCTTGAATGCGCCACAAACATCACCAGTGCCTTAGGCTTCTTACTCTGTATTTTTGCACCGAGAATTTATATAATCCTGTTTAAGCCGAGACAAAATACAGTGTTTGTTTCTAGAGCACAAGTTGCTAACTATACGTTTACAACGGCGAAATACAGCGGTGCACTTGGTAACGGTTAAAACAAACAAACATTGTAAAGACATAATGGCGTCAGGCTGGTTTGAATATGTCTATGCCCTCACTCCACTAAAAACATCGCTCTATTCAACATCTCTCTCAGACTTACTTGGAAACTATTTCAATCTTTTGGCTTTCGAGATTCTCCAAACACGAGATTGATAAACTTACTTCTGAACAGTACTGTCAGGCTATATACACAACCCACTCGGTTTTTGTAAAATCTTGGTATTTTCTGGGCCGTACGGGATTTGAACCCATGACCTCTGCGATTTCAGGTCCTATTTTCAACTACTAGTTCAGTAGTGTTCTTAGCTGCGAGGATCTCTTAAATTCGTCTCTTCACCGCAGTGCAAATATATATTAATTTCACATATCTAAAATCATTATTCATCACTTGGGTGGTTTATTTGGACCCAAAATATTGACCACCTCTCAGTTGGCTTGTTAGCTCATTTGGTAGAGCGCTACATCGGTATCGCAAAGGTCATGGGTTCAAATCCCGTACGAGCCTGAATTCTTTCAGGTCCTATTTTCAACTACTAGTTCAGTAGTGTTCTTAGCTGCGAGGATCTCTTAAAGTCGTAATTGGTTTTTGTTTTGCATCCGATTGGGGGAGAGGCGCAAGTAGCAGAGCAAAGTAGGGCAAAACAATGCAATCTTAGCTTACTTTCGACCAATTGAAAATAGCTCAAAATGTGAGTTCATTCTTGCTACTTTTCGTTTCTGCAAGCGTCATTTATCCATCTATTCTTTATTTCATTCAGTAATCTCTCCTAGTAATGTGAAAAAACGTCTCTTACCTTGTGATAAAAGGAAGAAGTACTACCACAAGGAAGGAGAAAGCCATTCCAACATATGTACATAGCAAAGGATCTAGTCCTGTCGCTTGTCCCAGTTTATAACTAAGCTCTGGAGAATAAAACACTACAACACCAGCCACGTGTGTTGCCATGGCAATAGGCACGACGCTTCCGATGTCAGGAGGATACTTCAAAAATGCTACCTGCAAAATTAAGACATTCTGAGCATCTTACATACCATCATGATAGGCTTCAGCGGATTTTTTCATCACAGACGACAGTTTCAGGAGCTGCGTCATGGCTGGTGCATCTTGAAAAGTTTCGCTTAAAATTTTTAATTCCCATCATTTGTAATGTAAGTCAATCTTCTTCATCCATTATCAGCCTGGTTTCTTTATAGCTTACTCTTTTCTCTAGGCTGTTTATTGAATCTTACCAACTAATATTTTAAAAGGCAATTCACTTGAAAGGCAATTCTCTGCGGAGCTAAAAATGACTCTAAATACCGCGACCAACAGTAGTTCCTTCATCATTATAAAAGGCGCATGTTACATGTGACCGTGACAAGGTCCGCCTCTCGTATTTCTCTTTCCTTTTTCCAACAATTTTGATTTCACTATAAATTAAATTAAACAGGGTTGAAAATCAAATTGAAACCTCAACAAACCTCAACTTCTAAATTAGGGATTTCCTTTTCAGTATCACCACTTTTTTCTTCACGACTTTCCACCTCAGCTGTTTTAAATTTAGCTTCTTCCTTCGATGCTTCGTCTTGTGAGGTGTCAACTTTTGAGCCATTTTCTGGAGCAGACCCGGCTAATACCCACATCACGATAGCCATGATCAGAGGACCTAACAGAAGGCAGCCAAAGGGAGGCATGTACAGGCCAATTGATACATAGCGATTAGACTCAGGTAGAAGGTAGAAGAAGAATGATTGGTGAAATTGCTCCAGGAGGTTGTTCAAGCTACGGAATATACCCTCAATGACTCTGTCGAAGCAAGGAGCAAATATTTAAGAGTCGATAGAAAAGATTCCAGTATGACTATTTTGAAAGGGAAACTTAACTTAATCCGGGGAAACCTACGATGAACTAACTGTTAAATCATGTCTACAGTAAAACAAAATGATGCCAGTGATGCCTTATGACTAGCACGCTGAACACTGGGTTGAAAGGGGAGGCTTTCTTTATTGAGGATAGTACGAAATGTCACAAAATAATCTAAATTTGGCCCTCGTGAAAGACAAGCGAACAGTGCTGAATTTTTTAACCCTTTTAGAGAGATAATGCAGCAGCATGCCATTCAGTGCCATTCAGAGCCTTATTAACTATTTTAGCTTTCATCTTAGCTATTCTCTCCTGTAAACGGGCGAGTCCTTGCAAAGTCACTGTGCTATGTTCTTGGGTAAGACACTTAAGTCTTCCAGTCTCTCTCTCTCTCTCCACCCAGGAGTATAAAATGGGTACCAGTGATCTGTCATGGAAGCCTGATGAAATTCGGGGATAATGTGTCATGCAATGGAAACCAGGCTAAATTCTAGCTGGATGGGCAAACCGGCTTGAGAGCAGACTTCAAAACAATATTATCTGCTCTAATTGGTTCTTTAAGAATCAATGAAGTTTTATTAACCCCTTAACTCCCAAGATCTGATTGTTAATTCTCCCCTCTAGCTACTGCACATTTCCATGTAAATCAGTTATGAGAATTTGGGGTTAGATCAAGATAACAACTTCTACCTGAAAAGTTTGATTATTCTCATTACCTGTTAGCTGGATAATCTATGGATAATTCAGGGAGAACTTACATGTTAATCACTTTTGGGATTTAAAGGTTAAATGGAATCCTACCAACACCTGCCCACCTTCCAGTCTCCTGAAATCCACGCCCATACTGAAAGGTTTCTCCGCCACCCCTCATTGTAACAGCTTCAATACGATATCTGTGAAACAAGCCATGATTGCCAGAAGCCCTTCCAGAGGCCTGGTAAAACATCATTATCACCATGGTAACAAGAGATTGCACAGAATCTGCCCAGGGTCCCAGGTGTTCATGATATCCCTGTCAACATCAAATGACACAAACACTGTATGACAACTAAATGACAAAATGCATCCAAACATGCTGGAGAAAACTCCTTAGAGGGGTGTAACATGGTGCTAATGAGAAACTGTAGATCAGAGAATTCTTAGCCTACAATGCACAATCTTTTTGCTAAATTTTAAGGGCCTGAGCTTTTTTTCAATCACTCTAGGTAGTGAGTAAAAATAAATTTCTTACTACAAAGTACCTTGATACATTTCTGTGCAGAAAAGTGATCAGGAAGAAAAATATCAACAAGGGCAAGTTGACCAATTAATCACCAAATTCTCAAAGCTATGATTGGTAGAAATTCATGACAGATAATGCAGAGAATTCATTTGTAGAACTTGAGAGTGAAAGGCTTAATGAGGACTTGAATAAAAATAACCACTATGTACTCAATTATTTCATTTGTAGTGATGATTTTCCCAGTGGGGCAGCCCTGGAAAAGATTTTGTCAGTGAAAAAGTATAAAATGTGAAAAATCTGAGCAGAAGTCATCACTGATAAGTCAAAGTCATAAAGATTGACTCTTAAGATGACTTTTGCTCAAGATGGACCATGTAACAGGTAACCACGTTCAACTTGTGATCCAACAGCCCATTATAATTAAAATACCCAACTGGTTTGCCTCTGTCACTGTACTAGAAAAGTTTTCTAATCATGTTTCTATCGATTTTGAATATCTGTTTAATTATCAGAGACACAATAGTTATCTTTTAGGTTAAAATGAATTCCAGGAAAATGATTTTTTAACAAAAAAAGTCATATACTAATACACTCTTTGTTCCCACTAAATAAAAAATCCAATTCACCTCTGTGTGTAGAGAAACTGGAACATGCTCTTTGCGACACATCCTGAACACGGTATTTACTAGATCAAGATTAGGAAGCTGTCCATTAATTCCTTCAATGGCAATCTTAAAGAAGTTCACTTTCTCATGCAGAAATTCCAAGTTCAGTGCAGCTTGTATGGAACCAGAATGTCCCTCAAGAGGAGCAGAAGAAATATCTGCAAATGGAAAAACAAGTTGTTTCAAGTACAATAAGAAAGGTGGTAAGTTTTGAGCTCAGTGAAGAAATAGAGAAAGATGTTATTTCATCTTATCATGAGCTTGGAACAAAAAAAATTCTGAGTCCCCATGAGGAACTGAACTTCAGACCTTCTGATTTCTGGGCTCCCATACACAGAGCCACAGAGAAACACATTTATGAAATGCATCCTGCATACTGCTAGGATCAGCAATGTCAATGGCATCAAGTTTGGTAAACAAAATAATAAAGAAGGTAAGTTCTGAGCTCTTTACTTGGTATTTACTCAAGTTATTTCAACCTGTTAAATCAAAGTGTTTGAGTTGATTATATCAACAAGGGAAAGTGCAGGAAACTAATACCTACAAGAATTTGTAACACCATGGTATGCATCAAGCCAAGCTTGCATACCAAGTTGATCTCTATCAGTCACAAGAAAAATGATATCCTTTGACCAGTAACTTTTCCCTGTGAAAAAAGATATTTCTTTTTAATTTATCAAAATCAAATACTGAAAAAGTAAAAAGAAAACAAGAAAAGAAAAGAAAATTGTACAGAATTCCCCCCCTCAACTAGCCAGTTACATTGTACATTACAATTAGGCAGAGCGGGGTGACTAGAAACATGTACAGTACACAATTTGAGGATCACAGTGGACTTCCCTTTTTCTCAACAGAAACCATGCATGAGGAGCATAAACGGGTGGGTATGAAGAAGAAGTATACACTTCTCATCCTGCATAACATTATATTTTACTTCATAATGTTTGTAAAGCTCTCACATAAAGTCTTCTTTGATCAAGAATGAATGTTTCAATATCTTAAGCTTTCTGGAGACACACCAATGAAAGTGTCCATCCAGAGGAAAATCACAGCACTGTTCTTAACACTGTAATACCACTCCATGTGCGGGACATTAAAGCAGCTCAAGATTTGCTGGAGAAAAGCAATAGTCCCTTAAAAACACTGACTCCACAGAGGGCAGAGTCATTACCATCAGAGATAGAAAAATTTTCTTAAATCCTTCAGCACTATATGCTGGTGTTTTTTAAATGTCATTTAATAGAAGTCATTCCCATTTAATTTAAGTCTTAGGAAGCAAAGTTGCATTAATTTGAAGCTTCTTAAAAGACATTTTTCAAACTTTGAATACCACTTTATACTCACTTCTACAATGGTCAGCAAATGACAACATTAGTGCTAAGGCTCCTTTATTGTTCCCTTGATTGTATGGAACACTGATAACCAGTGCCTCAGTGCCTGCAATCCTGGGAGCTCTAAGAATCCCATAAATGTTTACGCCATTTATCACACGTGGCTCAGAAATGCCAGGAAATGGTGTGTAAACTGTGAAGTTCTGTTGGTAAGTGTACAGACCAATGTTTTCCATTGTGTTTGTGATCATCTGTGATGCAGCATTGCTAAAGAAAAATGGACATTATGTTGACTGAAAATAATGCACATGGTAATTGAAGGAAATTATGGTCCAGTAAGTCCAGATCCAAAAACAAGGGGGAGAGGGATGGTTATTGTCAGTAATAGTTACTACACACATCAACAGGAAAATTATAGAGGTTTGCCTAAACATTTTTTCTATAAATGTACTTTATCAGGAAAACAATTTCAAATAAAATTGTCGGAGACCAGAGAAAAAGTTATATCATTTTACATGTAAGACAAACCAGCATGGGTATGAAGCATGTCTCAGATAAGATGTTTTTACAGAAAGACAGCTAAATTAAAAATAATGGCCACATATAAATGTTCTATTTTTCTTTCACAAACTACTAATGAAAAAGTGGTTTTTTTACTCATGATTATTAAGAAATTAAACTTAATGGGTGTATAACAAAGCCCTTGGTGCCTGTGGATGAGAACTTAAATTTAATTCTGAGTTTCACAAAGGAACCATTACATGTAGGTGACAATTTCCCAGGATTCTGTGTGAAGTATTCAATCAGTCTGTAAGTCTTTTTTCTATGCCCTTAAATTATAAAAGCAGAGAAGAACTGTAATGATGGGTACCTAATATCTCCCTCTGGAAGAGTTGATAACTTCCCAAATAACTCTGAAGCAAGTCTGTGATTCTTGAATTCTGCTTCAACCAAACCAGGCAACAATGCATTCTCAGAGAAATAAACACGACCATTGAATGTGCGATCAGATAAAGCACACAGCCAGATGATACCAATAATGTAACTGAGAACACTGAAAAAAGGAAGAGAACGATAAAATTGATAAATGAATCAACAGATCATTGCCAATCAGTGTGGGCGATTGTGATTGACATTTTACTTTGTGCTGTTGTCTACTTTCATTACCGTGCATCAGCAAAATCCAAAGAAAGGAAAAGTCAAAATGAAAATTGGACGACATAGATACAATTAGTCTCTTAAACGTAAATCTCTTTATAATTTTGGCATGGTGGTACATCGTACATCTATGCACAAAAACTTCGAAAATTTGTCAAATAAAACATAAGAACATCAATTGAAAGCGTATTAGAAGTATAATCCCTAATAGTACTAAGAGAAAAATCTTGCAAAATTTAAAGCTTCGTTACCACAGCTTTGAGCAATGAGTTACTAGAACATCCACAATTTTCTTCCGTCCTCGAACATCTGACAAGAGACCCATTTCTCTCGCACTGACTCCACACAGAAGAGCTGGATATGAGGTGTATTTTAAGGCTGAAGTTGAAACAGATAAAGACACTTTTAAGTTAGCAAGCTTTAAAATTCGTCAAGTAATAACTCACATACTGCAATGAACTTTGATTACCACCACAACACGCGCCACAGAATGCAAAGCTTCGAGGGAAAAGACTGAACGCAATTTTAATTATGTTTTAATGGGCTTAAACAATAGTTCCTTTCCAACAAATGCGCTTACCTATGGAAATGCTCCTCAAGAGTCAAATATTTTCCGCCATCTTGAATAGTTTCTTTTCCAGGCTCTGAAGCACGCACACGGTAAGTATCGATGGCGCGGCTACAGGCTCGAAATAGCAGTCATGCGCAGTGAGAAAGTTATGCAATACTACCGCGTTGCGTTCTGGGTAATAATCCACATCCATTTCAAGATGGCGTTTAGATTGTGCCGGTCGCATGGATTATCAAAACGATTACAAGATGTATTTAAGGTAAGAAATGATTGTATTGGTGAAATTATCTTGGTATTATGCTGAAAGTTATCACCTAAAAGATCTAACAATAGACTGTACAGAATATATTTGAAGAGTACCTGAGATCGTGGCCACTGAGTTTGATGTAAATGTACGTACTTTGTTCGTTACGTAGTACTAAAGTTTTGCTCACGAACAGAAAATCTGTGTTGATGATTAATCATGTTCCAAGTATTCTCCTATAAACTGAACTTTTTTTGATTTTATAAAACTCCGGTATGTTTTTTGTAAGGTCAATTTAAGTATAGTTCTCATTTCTTAACCGTTGAATTTAATTCGCGTTTTGATATTGTAAAGTTTCGAGATTGTTGTTGGTAAAAGTAACTTTAGCAGTGAGCACCTCCTGGATTTGGCTTGAATTTCTTTTCTTTTGGGAGAATTGGATCTTCAAGTACCCATGCAAATGTTTTTGTGACTTATTTTTTTGCTCACCAAAATGTACAAAATACATCTACCCACATATACTCTGGCACACCAGTTTACGACGTTGCTCCCAAGCATTCTTAGAGAATATGTTTGGCAAAATTGGCACGCCAATGATATATGTGTAGTCCCCTTGATTCCAGCCCTCTGATGGCAGGTGACTCATTGTGTTACTAAATAATACGAAATTACTCTTAACCCTGAGGGCTTTTCAAAATTAGGATTGTCTTAGTTAGTGAATTTCATCCATTATAGAAATACTTTAGAAACTAAGAATTAAAGTCTGTTTGAATTTAGAGGTCTATTTCTCATCATTAGGTACAGACCAGGCTAACAACAACAGCCACAGTTGAAGGAGGGAAAAGCAATGCAAAAGTAAGTTGGGCCAAAATCAGTTACTTATGAATTGAAATTGTGCTTTTAGATAGTTTGCCTTTTTTCCTTGAAAAGGTGCTGATGTTTTAGGGAATCATAAATTTTTGGTCACTCTTTGGAAAGAAAGTGTTTACCGTTTTATTTATTATCCAATTACGACTCTTTCAGATGTGGTTTGCATTTGGTGCACTTGCTGCAGGAGGGCTTGCCACAGGTTACATCCTTCAACCAACTGTTGATGCTGCAGAACTTGAACTTCACCCTCCCCACTACCCTTGGGCTCACAAAGGCTTTTTGAGTTCACTTGACCATGCAAGGTATGTTTGAAGGGAAACAATTAATTAATTGTGATTGATGTGGTATGAGGCATAGAGTGTATATGTTTTGCCAAATACCCAATATAGAGGTACCCAGTTTATTTCTCACAGTACTGAGGTACCAGTACTGGCAATGTTTTATTTTTTCTAGCATCCGACGAGGTTATGAAGTGTACAGACAGGTCTGTGCTGCTTGCCACTCAATGGAGCAATTGGCATATCGACATCTTGTGGATGTGGCTTACACAGAAGAAGAAATGAAAGCTATTGCATCAGAGGTATGCGATAAATTAGCTAAGAGTGTCAATGTATTGCCTGGACGCTATATTGTGATGTTTAACACAATGTTATTAAGTGGTGTAAATGAAATGTATAATCTACCAGACAAAGTTTAAGCAAGCTGACCATATACATGTTCCCCTTTGATAAATAAACCAGGTTGCCTCTAAATATCTTCATAGATGATGTTATTGTTATTGTCACTGTTGATGCTATTTTAGTGTTTCTGTTCTTTTTCATTGTGCACATGGTTATGACATTTAACTGAAGGAGGTGAATTGTTTGTTTTTCACAGGCACAGATTGAAGATGGTCCTGATGATGATGGAAACATGTTCACCAGACCAGGAAAGGTGAGATACTTGGTAAAGCTTATGGATACAGCAATCAGTCAACTTAGAACAAAATCTGTTTTGATTCTGAAGGACATTGTAAATCCATGTGTATTGCTACATATGTTGGCTTGGTGACTTGGTGTTAAACCCATTGTTGCATTTTTCAGTTGTCAGACTCCTTCCCTAAGCCATATCCTAATGAACAGGCTGCAAGAGCTGCTAATGCTGGTAAGAAATGCCTTGGAAAATGTGTAATGTTACATATTTTATTATACACCCATTATTTGTGTTTTAAACTATTTTATAAAGGTGTGTACTTGTGTTGTGAGGAGTACTCATTTCTTGTGATTTTTCACCACATCTTAGGTGCTTATCCCCCAGACCTGAGCCTTATTACATCTGCAAGACATGGTGGAGAGGTAGAATTTACACATTTATTTCCTTCCAGTTTTTGTGGTGTTACTTTTTTGGTGTATTGAGTGCTTGCACCCTGAATTGACTTGATTTGACACATCTTGTCAGTGTGTTAAATTTTCAAGCACCCTAAGCATTCTTGTTTGCATGTGTTGATAAATTGGTTATGCATTAGGCCCTGGTTGTGCGAAGGTTGGATAATGCTATCAATAATAATTAATAATTTAATAATATTAATAACAATAATAATTTATTACTTATATAGCGCAAAATGCATGTGGATATGATCTAATGCGATAGAATTAACTGGAATCAACTAGATAAATCTCTATAGAGTGGATAGTGTAGTACGTTTTGCTATCACTTATCCACTGGATAGTGATTTATCTATTGGATAATGTCATCCAACCTTCATTCAACTGGTCCCAGATCAGTAACCTTGTCAAGACTTTTTGATTTGCATCCAAGCACAAGGAGAAATGGAGTTGTGTTTGAATTAAATTTTAAACAAAGACTTTCGTTATATTGGTTTTAAGGTATAAAATTTGGGGGAATGTCACTTGGGGAATATTAGTGGATATTCTACAGTTGAGCTGGGGCATATTTGGTCATGTAACTCATTTAGACCAATCATGCAAGAGTGAAAATATATGATGGATTATAGGGGGTGTTGTCAGCAATCAGCATTCCACTGTAGGTAACAGGTTGTTTTTCATCTCTTGCCACAGGACTATGTATTCAGTATCTTGACAGGTTACACAGATCCTCCTGCTGGAGTAGAAGTCAAGGATGACTTGTACTACAATCCATACTTCCCAGGGCAAAATATTGCCATGGCACCAGCATTGTACAATGAAATCATTGAATATGAGGATGGTAAGATTGCATTGAAATGTAGAGGAAGATTTTCTATAGCCAACTTACCAGCCAATCCCTATTAAACTGTTTAATCTCTCTTATTAATTCTTTCACTCCCACTAGTGACCAAGAGAGAATTTCTCCTTACAATATAAATGCAATATCAAACAGACAAGTGATGATAGTTAGAAAAAAAGTGTCAGTGAGGGGATTAAAATTTGATCCGATGACAAATTCTTTGAACTGACATCCTAAGAATTGTATGGCAGACAGTAAGGATAATTCTTAATGAGAAATTGGGAATGAGAAGGGTTACTTGTAGGAAAGACAGGTTTCTTATTTTTCCTTACAGTATCACTGCTAAGTCAACAGAAAATTCACGAGAATGAATGAAATTATTATCAAGTTAAGAAGCTCAGGATTGTTAAACAAATTCCCTTTTTCAGTGCCCTAGGAAATGTATAAAGAACATTATGGAGAATATGCATTCTAATGTCAGGGTGTTAATGGTTAATTTATCTCTCACTAATGTTGGTGCATGTTGAAATTTAGGTACACCTGCGACAGTCAGCCAGCTGGCTAAAGATGTGTGTACTTTCCTTAAGTGGGCTGCAGGTGAGAATTTATTTTCTACAGTACTGTATTAACGTGGTTAAATACTGCTGTGTTTTTACTTCCAAATTATGTTTACTTCAAAATAATGTTTCCTTTATTACTGACAATGATTGCAATAGATTATGTGTTAGTATTATGTAAAAAAAAAAAGACATGTCATCCATTCTAGTGTCTCTTTTTTTAGCCAAGACAGATTTTAGTTGCCTGGCACCTTAGGTTCAATAATGGTGGTACAGATCACTTAGTTGTATCCAACTTGTCATTTTTGCTCTTTGAAAGGTACTAGTTAACATCATAATTATTCTTCTAATTCAGTGTGGAATTACTGGGTTTATTCTAAAGTTTGTTTCCATCTGCAGCATTTCATCACAGCTGGTGTGTATTCCAGAGCTACTCTATGATGAAATTGGGGTATTAGGAGTTACGGTCAGCAAATAGTTGTTAATGGCTTGATGTTATTGCGTTGTCTTTGTAGAACCTGAACATGATGACCGCAAAAGAATGGGAATGAAGGTATAATGCATATTCAAATCTTCATTCGTTATACTTAAACAACAAACCAAACCAGACATGTATTCTGCCTCACCAAAGTAGAAGGGTGAAGAATAATTAGAACATACATCTAGGTCGCGGTTTTAGTATTTTGTAAATTTTCCTTTAGTGCCACCATGGTATTCCTTCATGTACATGCAGCCGTGTGTGTAGATCTATATAACGTGTTTTGAGCACTTAGCTGCAAAGTGCACATCACATTTTTCAATAAGTTTTTGTGATAAATTGGATGAGTTGACTTTTTCTTACTAAATTAACAAGATCTTCATGCATGTTTTATTAATCTTGTTGGATCCTTTGTTTTTCTTCACAATGCTTGGTGTGAACTCCATCGTCGATCTGAAGTAAAACCTTGTTTCTTGTGGAAGTTGTTGCCGCTTTAAAGAGAATAGTCTCCTGAAGCATTCTTTGAAAGACTATGTTCAAATCCGTGTACTTATTTACTTCTTCTCTTGTGTCTGTTTGTTTGTTTTTCCTAAGGCCATGACGATTCTCGGGTTCCTTACGTTTGCCTCATACTACTACAAGCGTCACAAGTGGTCAGTGTTAAAGAGCCGCAAGATCGTGTATCGTCCCTCACCCCACTCCTGAGGGGCTCAATAACTGAACAAATTTAAACAACTTTTTACGCAGATAATGTCAGCATTAGATGAAAAAAATAAGTGCAGGTACTATTTGATCTGTGCTTTAAGAGGGTGATAGCATCATTTAGGCCTTGCACACCTAATTAAGTGCAAATATTCTGTTGTGATATTGACCAAGGCTTACTGTAAAAAATTCTGTTGATCAGAGTGCCTCCTTAAATTTCGTGAGTTATGGTGTTTGTTGCTGAGGTGTAGCTGCTTTTAGCTTACTCTCTGTGAATAGCCTCTTTAAAAAGCTGTGAGGTAATCCAAATGATATTTTATTCCTTTTTGTTGTGATTTACTTCAATAAACACTAAATTGAAATGTTTTGAAATTACGTTGTTTCTGTGTTAAGGGGATATTATCATTGTAGTCCTTCTAAAACCCCCTCCCACGCCAGTGACAAAATATTATACGTACTTTTGATGGATCAAGTTAAATATTTTTAGACACCTGACATCAGGAAGCCAGAAGAGGCTCTTTGCAAAAGTGTGTGCGCAGATTTCGTGTAGCTTCACGAAGGAAAGCACGACTAAATCACCGAGCTAAATAGGCTATACCGTTCAAAACAAAATGAGGTTACGATATACAAACAATAACCTTTATCTGGCGCGAAAATATGCACGGATATTTGTTCCATTATGCGAACAGTTACCGAGAGCGAAGCCCGAGGAAAACTGTGAACTTCGAGGAACAAATAGTGTCAAGGGAAAATGTACAGGCACACTTTCGCGCAAAATAGAGGCTATTGTGTTTAGTATCCTTAAAAGACTTTGCGACGCGCGTGAAAAAATGTTTACGAACCGTATGAAGCGTTAGATGTTTTCTTTGGAGTACAAACTTTATAAACAATAAAATATCTCCCTTCTTCTGTAACCATCACAAAACGTTCTCTCGTCTTGAATTAAATCTTTAAAAGAAGATCTGTGGTAGTGGACGTGAGGTTTGAAAACTAGGGAATAGCACTTGGGCGTTATTCTCGGATATCGCCCAGTGTTCGGTCACGTGCTGCACTTAGACCAATCGCGCGCGAGCAAAAATAATGGATTATTTTTAGCATAATTCGCAACACCGAAACAAAAACGATTTGATATTCTTCCTGGTTACTCAGTCCATCCAAGGTCTCCAGACCCCTCCATGATTTACTGGCTTGGATTTGAGATCGGGGTCTGGGAATCTAGCAGGCACCGCAGTAGTATTATACTTTTCTATCATACCGAGTAAATCGCGCACTACATCTGGGAACTGTTCTGAAATTTCTCTCTTCTCTTGGGGATCGCCCGTGATGTTAAAAAGAAACACGCTATTTGCGTTATGTTGGTTGGAGGAAGACTGGGTCTTGGAGCCGGATTCCGGCGCCGCAACCCAATCTCCGTTTCCTGGACAACCAAGTAAGAGTTTCCAATCCCCTCTTCTGAAAGCGGCGCTACGACAGTGAGAATATCCGTCCGGATTTCCCCAGAATGTATCTACAGGGTCAATATTATGTAAGATCTCGTTCCTCGGTGGCGTCAAGTTCTCGCTGATGCTCGCCCACTGATTTACCCCGTCTAGAGGAATGCCCTCAACCGATACCTTGGCCAAGTGCAAAATGGTGGGAAACCAGTCAGACACGTGCATCAGTCCCTTATAAACTCTCCCCGGCTTTTGAATCAGATCACTGTTTACAAACCCGACGCCTCTTATGCCTCCTTCCCACAGCGAAGCTTTCCAACCGCGCAGCGGCCAGTTGTTTCCCCCCGCCGTGACTTGTCCTCCGTTATCGCTGCTAAAAATGAGCACAGTGTCTTCCCACAAACCGCGTTTCTTGAGCACTCGTGTCACGTTTCCAACCGCCTCATCCATGCAAGAAACCATGGCAGCGTACACGCGTCTATTGTGATCCTTAATGTTTTTGTACTGCTTCAAAAATCGTTCAGGTACCTGTAGCGGCGAGTGGGGAGCTTGGAATGATAAAAACAAAAAAAGTGGGTTTTGGGGGTCATGTTCTTGAATTATCCTTTCGGCTTCTCTGGCGAAGAGATTGGTGGTGTACTTCCCGACTACATCTCGTTCAAGCTTTTCATCCCGCCAAAAATCATAACCGTTGAGAAACTTGTAACCCGATGCAGGAAACCCGAGTCGATTCCGATGTGTGTAGTAATCTTGTCCACCGGTTAGAAAACCGTAAAACGAATCAAATCCCCTTCTTGTTGGTATAAACTTCTCACGATAGAACCCGAGGTGCCATTTTCCGACCACGTGGGTCCTGTAGCCACTGTCTTTCAATTTTTCTGCGATTGTAGTTTCGTTACTCGGCAGCGCGTTCGCCTGCGAGGGCCAAATTATTCCATGTTGCAGTCCAGTATGTATGTCGTATCGTCCCGTTAAAAGCTGCGCTCTCGTTGGAGTACAAATAGGTTGAACGTAATAGTTATCCAGTCGAACCCCGGTGCGAGCCAACTCGTCCAAAATTTTGGTTTTGAATTTTGAGTTGTGGTAGCCAATGTCATTAAATCCCAGATCGTCAGCTAAGATGAATACAATGTGCGGTTTTTTACCATGGTTGAGGACTGCTAAACTAGTCTTGATCAAAATGAAAAGAAGAAATTCAGTTCTGATTAACCTCAGATGTAAAAACATGGTCATCCCCTCAAACGCTTTTCTTTCTCTCTTAGCAGTTATTCAATATCTTTAAACTTTAGTGTGCGGCGTCAAACAAAGCCCTTAAACAATTAGGAACCTGTTCAGTTCAGATTTTTTTTTTCTATTTCGGGTAAAAACCCGATCATCCAAGACATTTTTATTCACTCTTAGCTTGCGAAATCGAGACCAAATCACTCCTTCGAAGAACGAAACATTGGAAAGATGGAATAAAAATGACTTAAAGTAGCTTTCATTTTGATCTCGAAGTTACGGGTCTTCACCATTCACACAGTGACAGGTCTTTATTTTTCTGGTAACCCTTGACTGACGTAAAGGTGTTATGTACACCTGATTGCCTTAACTTCAGTCGTCATAAAAAAAAAAAAAAAAAAAAAAAAAAGCGAAAAGGAAAACGACCCTGAACGCTGTGGTATACGCAACGTTCATAAATATATTGTTTCGTCTTTGCTCACTCACCTTCCCCTCAGGATAAGAAGAAGACAACACGTGGAGTTTATTCAAGATTGTCGACATTAAAAATGGTCTGTTAAGTTGATTCACTACATTGAGCCTATCTTTAAACCTTTTTGGCAATATTTCTATGTATGGCCTGCATACGAGGACTGGTCCTAGTGTCATTTCACCGGGTTGCAGTGTTAGCAAAGTTGATGACTAACCCTGAAAAGCTTTGATTTCCTTCGAAAGCAATTAATGAAATCAGATATCAAAATCCATTAGTTCGAGGGCCTAAGATACGTAAACGTAGACTTCGTTAACTGATCGCCCCCAAATCTCCAATTCGTTATGGAGACAGCCTTTGAAGGACCTGAAGTATCTTGCTTTCCCTTTTTTTACCATCGTCGTTTTATGTCCATATTCACATTTCTTATGGAAAAAGCTTCTTATAAAACTCAAGTCAAATTTGTGCAATGTAATCGCATTTCCTTAGGAATTACACCATTCTAGAGATTTCTCCTCTGTCCCAAGCTTAAAAAAAACTGACTTAAATCGTTCTTTTCTTCAAGCACTTTGCCTCTCTTGAGGATTAGATTTAATTCAAATTTTTACAGCTAAAAATATCTCGTATACCGCGAGAGGCTGTAGGTCACAATCATTTCACAGAGGAACAGATTAGTTGCTGACATTTTGAAGTGATTTTATTTCTTAAAAGACATACAGCGAATAAACTTTACGAGGTAATTACAGAGAGAAATTGCAGAAAAAGAAAGTGAGATAAAACTTAGTCATTCTTCTTCACGTCGCGACTTGCACTGTCACTTAATTTATAAATATATGAAACTAAACCTGAAAAAGAAAACGTAATGCCCGGTAAGTTGATACAAACAAAATTTCTCACCAAACCAAAAACAAACCAAATTTCTCAAGAACAAATGGGTGCAAGGAGTAAGTTAAATAAACATCCTTAGAAGCAAAATGAACCCTTAGCTACAATCAGCCACAAAATTGATTGACACAACATGTTTGAAGAGTTCTATTTATGGGTAGAATAACACTCCCTGTTTCTACCACACTCTAAATCATTGATAAGACCCCCCTTTCCAATTCAAAGTTGGCTAAACTGAAGTTCACTGAATCACGATTCAATATCTTTTTTTTAGGGGGGGGGAGGGAGCAAATAGGTTAACTTAAGGAGGGTAAAAGAGATAAAACTGAAGTAATAGGGGGTTGAAAAGAGCTATGCATCAACAGTTTTTTTTGCTGATTGTAGGTATCAGCTGTCTACTGAGTGTTTATAAACCCTTCACATCTGTTGATCCAATTTGTAATTCTCCTTTCTAGCTGCTATACATTTCAATGTAAATCAGTTATGAGAATTGGGTGCTTTAACAAGGACGCAGCCTCTCACTGATAACATTACCAACCCTCATAACCTGATTGCTGAATATTGCATCCAAATTGAGGGGAGAGGTTACAAGTTGACCATTTCTCAGAATTATAAACACTAAGGGCTGGTTCTACAGCCCTTCTTGCTAAGGATGAGGCTGAGGACTAACAGAACTCCTTACAATAAAATGTATTTCTCCTGCTAGTTATTTTTTACCTCTGTTATTAATTTTGATTCCACCCATTCATAATAGTTGTCTTTAAAGTTACATGACACTTCAGGCCACTCACCTACTAAGTGCTTGTGGAAGACTGGCTATGACTGGACCATAACCAGGAGAGTTATCATACAGTTCAAACAATGGTGCTGCCACTAACTTGTAGTTACGAGGCACAGCAAAGTTAGCTGAAAAAAAAAATTGAAGGGCTTTGAATTGATTTAAAGTACCTTTAATGAGAAAGAAAACAGTTTGATTTTCCAGATTTCCTATGACTGAAGTAAACCTTCAACTCACATTCATACGGAAGTTTTGCACTTTTGTGAAAACTAATTCAATTCAATTCTACCTTTTTCTCCAAGTTGAACTAGAAAGAGTTTTCTTTGTTCTTTTGGCTTTGTTATATGAGCAGGAATATATGGATACTGCAGAGAAAAAAAAATGAACATTTAAGGTTATCACTTGAGTACAATACCATCAAATATTCCTTTCCAGAAATACTGAACTACATGTAGATAGAGAGGGAGTGACATGTCAAAAGACTCCTCAATTTGGGAAAAAAGAGTATTATTGCGCATGTGTACCAAATCAAATGAAGATTATTAATTTACGAAGAAAGGTGAGCGGTGATTCTCCTACATTGGGTGAATTACCTGAGGTGCTTCAAAGTTTGGTCTCCACCAGTTTCCTAAGGTGTCTTCCACAACCCAGTCTACCTCGATTCCTTGTTCAGGGCGGCCTAAGATCTGAAGAACAGGAAAACATTGAGATCTACACTGTAAAAGAAATCTTTTACTGCATTAAAATTCTGGTAAATTGATGGTAACATCAAACAATAATTATAAAATTATGTGGCTTGAAACATAGTATAAGAAATTGCCAAAAAAATAGAAAATAAAAACAGCACAGAGAAGCAGACCTTGAAGCAACATGAGTATGCAAGGGGTCTGCAGGTGTTTTAGCAAATTCCTTAAAGATGTCTTGCCACTCACCTTGCCCTTTACCATGAATCTGGTAAGCTTTGTTACTAATGAGAGCAAATTTGAAGGCTGTTCAAAGACCTGCTTCTCTTTGCAAATGGTGCAAAACTTATTGTGTATTTTTGCAATGAAAGAATGGCATTTCACTACAATTTTTTAACCAAAAACATTGCAAATCAAACAATTATTAATAGTAATCAGTCTAAAATAATTCTTTTTTACCTCAGTCATTGATCTTTTAAGTCCATCAATTTCATCTTCCCCAGCAACAAGTTCCCCTCCAGGTCTGATAAAATATCAATTTATTCAAAAGTAGACTATTTAACACATTTTACATCATTTCAATTGTACTTTCAGATAAAAATGTATAACTGCATTTTGTGCTTGCCATATAAACCACCAACATTAAACAAGAAAGTAGTAGGTGACTTACAATTTGAAGAATGTCGTTCCTAACTGTAAAAGAAGCACATGTGGCAATCCATGTTCATGAACAATCAGTACACCTTCAACAGTCTTCCTCATTCCAAATTTTTCATATTCCTCCCTTGATATTAAAAGAAAATGAAGCCATAAATATAATACTTGGTATCAAAAAAGTACACAATTACACTAGCTATTATTGTATTGTGACCCTGAATATGTAGACTGATTTTTTCTTACCTCATTCGAGTAAATCTGGCTTGAACAGAGCTGCAAAATTTAAAATTAAAATAAAGTTTGGGAAAATATCATGGATTAACCTCTGAAAAAGTTTGCAGGTCTACATAATGTTCATGGAAGAATGACCAGGAGCTACGTGACAAGAGAGCTATATACATGTATGTATGAAAGAACATTCAAACTTTTCTACTAGTTCCTTGTGGGGTGCACTGATGTTATAGTTTAATTTCAGTTAGGGTTTAAAATTTTTCAACCAGATGGTTTTAAGGCTCTTTTTTTTACTTATTTGCATTTATCATGATAATCTAACACAAAAGAAAACTCAAATCAAACTGGTTAGAAAATGTTTAGACCAAGGAAAATTTGAACCTCCAGACTAGATCATATTTATTACCTGTCCTTTTCATACAACGCTTCTTTGGTTCCGAAAGTGTAATTCGTCAATGGATACCTGAAAAAATTAATACATAGATGTAACAGACATATAGCTAACGACAGGAACATAAACTGTATATAATCTTTCAAACTTTAAGTCTAATTACCCGCTGTGAAACTGACGTTGACAGAGGTCGGTACGGTGCACGTATCTGACATATTTTTAAAAAGAATCAAATCAGCTGCACTGTATATGATAAATATACTGCTCGGTCACCCCGACTATCGATCATCTTCAGTGTTAATCTTATTTGCTTTTAGAACGGAGAGGCCTTGTTCCCTCCATTAATCTTTCTTATTTTCGGTAGGTAAGGTACGCTCTGCTTGCTGGCATGGAAACACGACTACATAATTTGAAGTTGTTGTTACTGTCAATAATAGGTGTGTTATAAAAATAACCAACACAAAAATCAAATATATGACCTATTTAAAATCTTACAGTCGTACGGTCCGTTCCCCTGGTATTCCCTGCGGCCCCGTCATGTATTTGCCTGCATTACTAGCCGCCCGACTCCTCGGCCAACCTCGTGCGTTCGCGTTGGCCGCCATATTTATTTTCTTTCGACCCCAGACTTCTTGCGAACATTCACGTACTTCTCTATCACCAAATACTTCAAGTAAATTACATGAACTATTCGCCTAAAACACTTTCACGATGGCAGCAACCTCACGAATTATTTGGGCGAGCCTTGGTCGACCTTTTGCTACCTCAAGGAGTAACTTTTCGTTAATGTGCAAAAAATGCCACTGGAAATTACGACCAATGAGTTCACAGGCCATGGTACACGTGGGAAGAAAACGACTGTTCCAGAGAAAATGGTTTTGGCTCTTATTTGGTAGCGGTGCATCTTTACTAGCGATGAACGTTTACCATAACAGACTGTGGGAGGCCAGACAGCGTAGAAGACTGCGAGTTTCACTAGAGGGGGTAG